GCAGGAAGGATTCAAAGCCATGGTCAACAGCAATACGGTCACAGGCCAGAACGGTCTCGCGGAAGGTAGGCTGTGTCGCAAAGAGCTCCGAGGCCATTCCAGCGTACTGCGAACCCTGCCCGGTGAAGCAGAAGATGACGGACGGGGCCGACGAAGACTTGGAGGGCACCTTGGTAGCAGCCGGCGCTTCAGCACCAGCTGACTCAAGGCTGCGGATGAGGCCGTCTAACGACGACGCGACATGCGTCTGCCGGAGACCATGGTGCATGCGACGAGCCGTGGTGGTGTAGGCCAGGTCCTCGAGGCGGACATGGGAGGCTGCGTCGCTGCGCAAGTAGTCAAGGAGTCGCTGGGTATTTCCGGCCAGAGCCGTCGCCGTGCGCCCAGAGACAGCAACAATATGATGCGAGCGCGGATCGCTTTTTGCTGTAGCATCCTCGAGTCGAAGCGGCGCATCCTCCAGAACGATGCTCGTGTTGCCACCGGCCGCGTCAAAGTTGTTGATCAGCACGCGGCGCTTGCCGTCACCGCCGGGGCGCGGCACGAACGGCGTTGTTTGAAAAGCAATGTGGGTGTTGACGTCCTTCAGGTGGGCCACTTTTGGGTTCATGCGGCCCTTGATGCCGACGTGCGGTGGGATGGCATTGTGGCGCATCATCAGCAGCACCTTGATGAGCGACGTGGCCCCGCTGGCGGCCTCGCCGTGGCCTAGGTTGGGCTTGACGGTGCCGACGTACAGCGGCTCGGCGGGGCCGCGGTTGCGCGCAAGCACGTTGGTCACGGACTTGGACTCGGTGGCGTCGCCGGCTTGCGTGCCGGTGCCGTGCAGCTCCGCATAGTCAATGTGGTTGGGCTGCAGGCCTGCCCGGTCAAGGGTCGCTTGGAACAGGCGCTCCTGGGTGGCCGCGTGCGGATGCGTGATGGAGATGGCCTCGGCCGAGTGGTTGGTCACGGCGGAGCGGATGATGCCCAGAACGTTGTCGTTGTCGGCGACGGCGTCGGCGAGCCGCTTCAACACAACCACGGCCACGCCGTCCGCGCGCACGTAGCCGTCTGCCTCCGCATCAAACGTCTTGCAGCCGCCTGTCTTGGACAAGAAGCTGCCTCGGCTCAGACCGGCGAAAAAGTCGGACGTGGTCAGGAGGTTGACGCCGCCGGCGACGGCCGAGTCGCAGTCGCGGGCCAGCAGCGCTGTGCAGGCCAGCTGGATGGACGCGGCGCTCGACGAGCAGGCAGTATCGACCGAGTAGCTGGGGCCCTCCCAGCCAAAGTGGTAGTTGAGCCGACCCGGTCCGAAGGCGCGGATGCCGCCTGTGATAAAGTACGTGTCGACATCCTGGCCAGCGTTGACCTCGCGGTAGTCGTCACCCGTCTGGCCGACAAACGAGCCGATGCGGCGGGCCGCTGTCGACGGCGTCCGTCCGGGAGCGTAGCCGGCCATCTCGAGAGCCTCGTACGTGGTAAGCAGCAGAAGACGCTGGCCCGGGTCAGTTTGGGCGGCCTCGCGCGGGGACATGCTGAAGAGGCGCGTGTCAAAGAAGCCCGGGCGGTCGATAAACACGCCGTACGGTGTGAGGGTCGTGTTGCGGCGCTGACCAGTGGGATCGCAGTGGGTGTTGACGTCGAAGCGGTCCGGCCGGATCGGCTCGTGCAGGTCGCGGCCTTGCTCGAGTACCTGCCAGAACTCGTCTAGAGTCTCGCTGCCGGGCAGCCGGCTGGCCATGCCGACAATGGCAATGGCGTTGTCGCCCGGCGGCGGGGGCCAGGCAGCTCCCGAGGGAGACGATGTGAGAGACGATGTGGAGGCGGGCAGCGTCGATGACGGACCGGCCCCGGTGTGGACGGTGATGCCTTGGGCCGTCAGGCACCGCGCAATGGCCTTGGCCGAGTTGATGGGTCCAAAGGAGACCAGTGTAACGTTCGTCGTCTTGTTGGCGGCAGCCAGGCTCGCCAGGCTCTGCATGGCGGCGCCGAGGTCGATGGGTGTCTGGAAAATGTCGTGAATGACGTCGCCAAGAAGGTAGAGCATGGCCGTACTGGTGTACTGCGGGCGATCGGCACGGGCGGCCAAGACTGTGACGTCCGGCCGCACGGTGCGGCGTAGGAAGGCCGCAAAGGCGTCGTTGGGGACGGCCTTGTCGGGGATAGGTCTTGGAGACACCGGCGGCAGGTGCTCGGCATGGAATGCGGCGGCAATGGGAAGCGGACTGCGCTTGGTACCTTGGAGGACGGCAGGCTCCGTTGCAAAGAAAGCCGCGGTTGTTGACGGCGGGCCGCTCAATGTGATGACGGACGACAAGGTGGAGGACGCCGACGAAATGTACACCCGGCGGTCGGCGGCCAGCACGCGCGTTTGGTTGAAATCGGCCAGTGCTGCGTCGATGGCCGCACGGTCGGCCGTGATGTTGGTCACGAGTGTGGCCCAGGCTGCGGTGGTGGTAGAGGAGGTGCTGGCCGTGTCGTCGAGGCGGGCCGTGCGCCGTACGCCTTCGTAGCCAACACGGAACGCGAGCACGACCACATGGTCGGCAATGGCCAGCACATCGGCCAGGTTGTCCGAACAAGCAACGGCAACGGCGGCCAGGAGGCCCGTGCAGGTACCCAAAATGACCGTGTCCGCCAAACGACTGGGATTGTTTTCGAGGTCGCTGCGGATACAGTTAACGATGGACGGAACACATAGGGAGGGGCATATGGGACCTACACAATGACGTGCCCGAGTTGGGCCATGCACAGAAGAGCTGCCGACAGGGCCGGGCTGATTTTGCGGAGGAGCGTTCCTCCTGGGATGCCTCCTGAGACACTGTCGCTGGCTGGACTGGCGGCCCACCGCGCCAGCTCCAGCGGCGACGTAAACGAGGCCGGGCACTGGCGACGGTCCGCGGCTGGCAGACGCGCAATGACTGTCCGCAGACCGTCCGTGCACTTGTCAAAAAACTGGCGCAGGGCCGCACTGTGCAGAGCATGGGCATTGAGGGACTCGATGGAGGGCAGGACCTCGGCGGTCTGGTCGCCAAAGAGGAGTGTGGTGGTCATGGTGGTGGTGTTGTGAGTGACGAGAGGTTGTGTGTTGTGGTGTTGTGGAGAGATGAAACAAATGGTTTGACGGTGAGTTTGGTAGTCGCGCCGGCCTCTCTCGATAATGGGAGAGAATTCTACGGACGGACTTCAATATCAACCAGCGTGAACGCAGACGGCGGTATGCACGACGATATATATGACTACGTCTGTCAAGTCAACATCAACACACAACACGACACCTCTTCTCGACAAAGACACTACAAGACGAAACAGGAAATCAATGAGCGATCAGACTTCTATTCTTGGCCGAAAGCTAAAGTACTGCACGGTAAGCGTGCTCTTGAAAGGGGCAAGAGATGCTTCCATGCGGATGGCGAAGCAAATGGCCCGAATGCTGTTGAATGTCGTGATCCGGAGATTCCCTTTTGCAATTGTGACACAGAAGGCTAACGTCGATAAGCAGATGAGAAGACGACAGAAAACAAATATAGCTACTACCTGCGGCTCTGTGACGAGCCGACTATCAGCCAGACACACTACCCAGGCCGGATGACACTTGGATGCAAGATGGATGACCGCAGCCTGCAACGATGTAGCACCGGCGATGCCAACAGTACGGTAGAGAAAAAAGGTACATGTATGGCGTAAGGCTGTGACGCAAAGCTGGACAGCATGGGCGGGTGTGTCCAATGGGGAAGGATATGGATGAGACGGGCGTGAGCCAACAGCAAGAGTGACCCTGGGAATGGACAAGCAAAAGGGACATGAACAGGTTGACAAAATATGAAAGTACGTGGTTTCACAGAACGGATACTTGGGACGATGACCGTACGACAGTCGTGCCGTTAGATTGTGGCCGAGTCGTCCAACGGCCGATGAAAACGTGTACAACATGCCATCGACACCGGCCACAGAAAGGAAGTCTGATGCACTGCGCGAGGAGGTATCGCATGGCACACGCCCGCCCTACACACTATGCTGTGCTTCCTAGGAAACATTACTTGCGATACATGCAAAACACGCCGTACATGTAAGAAATGCAGACTTTGGCGGTGCTGTGCGACGGTGAGTTATTACAGTTCTGGGGCTTGGGCTGCTGCTAGAAACGGGAAACGAACGGACCTTAACTGCCCAATTAGGCAATTTCGGGCCCTTCGTTTAAGTCGAATTGTTGTCCGACAAAATCAACGTCTCGTCGGCAACGTAAGACGGGAGTCATCTCCACAGGGCTGAGCTGACGCTGGGCTTTTTGTTCTAATTCGTTTTTTCTTCTATGTCAATCAAGTTGCACGTACGGAAAACTCCGATTTGGCCGCTTGTGGTTTACTTTCTAGTAGTTGCGATAAGTAAAAGTCGCAATGTTCATAGCACCCTGCATTCCCCTTTCGGAAGGTACCACACACCTACGCACAGCCGGACTCCCTGCACCTTCCCTCGACCACCCAGCCACCAAGTTTGACGCTCTCCCGTCGGCATGGGCCGCCAACCCGTCCGTGGCCTGCTCTGCTCTTTCCCCGTTTGGCAGATGCGGCAGTGTGTTCCGGCCCGTCTCTTTCCCCTTTGGCACTTGTAAACAGGCAGACTAAATGGTGTCTATACGATGTGTCTATACGACGTACATTTTGTCACTTGCATTCTTGCATCTCTTCTGGTTGTGTCGATCCTCATCTGGTAATAGCAGCATGTCACCGATTTCGTATCCTCTCAAAGCCATTTGTCACCATCCATGCCTTACGCAGATTGTCGTCAGCCGTGGCCAGTCCCAAATCTATTCTTAGACGCCGATCAGGGCCACCTTCGTCGACGAAAATATACGAAACGCTATACAATACAGATGGGTTGTCTTTATCATATAATAGACACACCACACATCTGACACCTCGTCGTTGTGGACGAGCTACATGGTCCGCTACACAAAGCGCGCTGTCATTCTTCCACGTTTTTCCTGAATCCTCACATTGCTTCTACTACTTGTCATCATGGGTGCCACCGAGCATCCAGCCCTCCTTCAGCACACGGGCATCCCCGTTTCCCTCGTCATTCTTGGCCTCTCCTTCCTTGTTTTTGCCGCGTGGCTCGTCCGCCGTGACCGTCGCCTTGCCCACATCCCTGGACCAGCTTGGTGTCGCTTCACGGATGTCCCCCGTCTTCGCTGGGCGTGGTCCGAACGCATCCATGAGACCCACATCGCGCTGCACCGCCGCTACGGCGACCTTGTCCGCGTGGGCCCGCGCTGTGTCAGCATCGGCACGCCGCGCGCCATCCAGGCCGTCTATGGCACGGGCGCCAACCTGCCGAAAGGCGACTTTTACAAGGTGCTGCAGCCGCTGGCCCACGGTCGTGTTGTGCAGGGCCTCTTCAACACGCAGGACGAGGCGCTGCACCGGGCCCTGAAGCGGCCGATTGCGGGCATCTACTCCATGACGAACCTCGTGTCGTTTGAGCCGTACGTCGATACGACCATTGCAGCTCTCCTCCGACAGCTCGAGGCCCGGTCCGCGGCCGGAACAGGGATGGTCGACCTCGGCGCGTGGCTGCAGTTCTTTGCGTTTGACGTCATGGGCGAGATTACCTTTAGTCGCCGCTTCGGGTTTCTCGACACGGGCCGCGATGTCGACAGCATGATCCGTGACATTTACGGCTTCTTTGCGTACGGCTCGGCCGTCGGCCAGATGCCGCTGCTGGACCGGCTGTGGGCCAAGAACCGGCTGGTGAACTGGTTCCTGCCGGCCAAGAACTCGAGCGTCGTGGCGTTTGCCCAGGCGCGGGCCCGGGAGAGGGAGGCCGTCGCCGAAAAGGACGAGGGCGACTCGTACAACAGCCGCGACTTTATGTCGCGGTTTCTCGAGACGCGCCGCAAGGATCCCAGCATCCCGTCCCATTTCCTGACCGCCTGGACGACGTCCAACGTGCAGGCCGGCAGCGACACGACGGCCATTCTGCTCCGCGCCATTGTCCATTTCCTGCTGACCAGCCCGGCCTCCCTCCAGAAGCTCAGGGCCGAGCTCGACAGCGCCCGCCACGCGGGCCACTTGGGCGCCGCCTCCACAAACGGCATCGTCTTCTGGAAAGAAAGCCGCGACCTGCCCTACCTCGACGCCTGCATCAAGGAGGCCGGCCGGCTGCACTCGCCCGTCGGGCTGGCCATGGAGCGGGTTGTCTCGTCGGCCAAGGGACTCGAGGTCTGTGGCACCCATCTGCCAAAAGGCACCGTCGTCGGCCTCAATCCCTGGGTCGTCCACCGCGACCCGCGCATCTTTGGCGACGATGCCGACGAGTGGAACCCAGACCGATGGATGCGACCGAAAGACGAGACCCGGGCGGCCATGGAGCGGTCCCTGTTGACGGTGCGTTCACTGCTAGGAAAGGAAAAACGACCTCTGTGAAAGCCATATACTGACGTGCTGTTTGTAGTTTGGCGCGGGCCATCGCACATGTTTGGGCAAGAACATTTCCTACCTCGAGATCTACAAACTGATTCCCACGCTGTTTGCCAAATACGATGTACGTATGAAGTAGAGGGCAGGCATGATCTTCCTTGTCCAATGTGTTCAGCGCTAACCGGCAGATCACCTTTGCTACTCCCGACGAGTGGAAGCTCGTCAACCACTGGCTCGTCTTCCAGCAGGGGCTCAACGTCCGCATCCGTGTCAGAGACGACAAGCAGATAGGGGACGAAAAGATGCTGGCATAGGCGTACGGGAGCATAGAATCCATAGCAAACAATAGTGCAATAGTGGAATAGATAGTGGATAGGACAAATAAAAATCAAACGTTCCGTTGCTGCCCCGTCTTCTCTCCGGTCATCACCGACACGTCGTCCTGTTCAAGATGACGTCACCACCAAATCCGTCCCCGACTCGTCCACCTTGCACAGCGCCTGCTCCGTCGTGTAGCTCGCCGTCGCGGCGTCAAACTTGGTCGTCTTGCCGTCCATGCGGTCGCCCTCGGAAACCGCAAAGTGGATGGGCTCAAACGCGGCAAAGAAATCGCCGGGGCCGGCCTTTACGGGGACCAAGTCCTCGACGAGCCACGCGACGGACTGGCCGCACATGGAGGACGCCGTGGGGACGTCCTTGTCGAAGAATTGGTCGGTGCGGTTGAGGTTGGACCAGTTGCTGACGTTGGCAGATTGGTTAGCATGGACAACGAGCAACGTCTCTTGGACACGCCCTCTCCCTCGCACGCGCCCTCGACTCACATGTTGACAATGTCGTCCTGCACAATCGACACGCGCACGCGCACGCTCTCCCCCGCCGCCACGCTCGCAATCTTGACCGCGTACACCTTGCCGCTGAACTCGACAAACGGCACGTGCTGCTGCGTCCCGTTCTCGTACACCGTCGCGTAGATGCCCGCCCGCACCAGCTCGGGGCACGCGAACCCGTCCACGCCCGTCGACACGGCAATGCGCGGCGTCACCGCCGGGTCGCGCGTCCAGTTGAACGCGGGGCGCGCCGCCACCTTGGGCGCCGCAAACACGGCCGTCGCGGCAATGTACATGGGCGCGTCGCCCTCGACGCTCTGGAAGGCGCCGCACGTGGTCGTGTTGCTGTTGTGCGTGCCGGCGTGGGGCGCTGCGGCGGTCGTGGCGTTGGATGATGGCGGCGGCGGTACATCGTACTGCCGCCACGAGCGAACAATCTCTGGGGCCAGTAGCTCGAGCTCGTCGGCGGCAAAGGTGGAGCGGGCCGCAGGCGCTGCCGTGGCAAGGCCGACAGCAGCGGCCAGTGTGGCCGCGATGGAGAGGAGGACGGATTTCATGATGGCCGTGGTCGATGGCGTGAGTCAGGGCGGAGGAGTTTGTCAGAATAGTAAATCAAAGAAAAAGGAAATCGGTGGTAACTGTAAATCAAAAGGGGAGGGATGACGGTGGGTATAATACACGGACGGATAAAGCAAGACAAGGAACAAGGACGAGTCGTCATCGACTGGAGACGACAAACTCTCCCCACAAACGACTTTGACGGGATATACAAGTGTGGACGGACAGACAGCCCTCTCGGCTTCAACGAGACGAGATAGATGAAATGGTGGGGGAAAGACAGAAGAAGGAAGATCCAACAGACGCGGCACTCAGCCGGCAGAGGCTCACGAGGGTCCAGAGGCTCTCTGACATGGGAATCCATGAAATGGCCGTGGCCCGATGGGAATCTAAATACACTTTACATATGCTTGGCCTCGCCAAGGCCGGGGCTTTAACCCGAGAGGGGGGGAGAGTGATGGACGGTGAAGTCGAGAAATCGACTTAAACAGGACAGAGGCCTGGCATCGAGAAAATATGTGAGAAAATAGCGGCTAGATAGACGTAGTATGATGAATTGTTGAATTGTAGGACAATTTCCCCATTACTGTTGGCTTACCATCTGCTGTAGTCATTTCCATGACATAATGATAGCATATCTACGGACTCTCGTCTTACATCATGTACCGTGCTGGTGGTCCGGTCCGTCGTGAGAGTAGCGGAGCTGTTTGTAGTGCTTCCGTTTAGGTTATATAGAGAATACAACGTGGCGGTGGTCTAGATGCGCCTTCCATTGTAACGTGCAACTTTGTCAGGAATTGACCGGCCAGAGTAAAGTGGTTGCATATGTTTGTGTTCTGTGTTCTTTTCTTTTTTTTTTCTCTTTTTTGTTCTGTCTTTTTCAACTGTTTATATAATTATTAAAACAAGATAATAATCCACGAATAATCAACGAAGCTGAAAACGCGGGGAACATGGAACAAAGATACAAAAAGAAACAATCTCTGCCTCTGTAGCCAACGAACCAACGGGCTTGAAGAGGTCCGAGACTGACTGCCGGCAGATCGTTCTGTCCTTTCGGGCGGAGATTTTTCCCAGTGCGAGGCCACGCGTGAGTTTACCCAACGGGAGATGGAAACAAGAAAAAGGGCACAGGGTAAAGAATAAGGTTAATGATGTCTAAGAATGCTAAGAAGGCTAAGAAGGCTAAACAGGAGCGTACACGAAAGCACAATGTATGGCTGCGGCTGCTCGCCGTGCACGAGGGACTGCCTCGCCTTTACCCGGGCACTATGGATCTGCACAAAAAAGGACCGGCATCGTCCGTCCAGTCGGCAGTGGATACGGGACGATTGTGTTGTGCCGTGAATTTCGTTGTTTTTGAATTCGTTGTATTTCATTGTCCTTCTACAGCCGTTCAGAATGCATCATGTATCGTCACCTTGGCCCTCCTGCCCTAGTTCGCCCCGTTGATGATGGCCAGCAGCTCGTCGGGGTCCTTGGGCGCGGTGGTCAGGTTGTCGCTGCCGGTCTTGGTGATGACGAGGTTGTCCTCGATGCGGACGCCGCCGACGTCCCAGTACTTGTCGAGAACGGCCTCGTCAATGTACTTGGCGTGGACGGGATCCTTGAGGAAGGGGCGGATCATGAATTCAAAAAAGTAAATCTGCGAGATTGGAGTCAGTCGTGCCATCCACGGACGGAAAACGGGGAAAGGGAAAGGAAAACGGGACATACACCGGGCTCAACGGTAATGACGCTGCCGGCGGGCAGGGTGCCGCGCACGCGCAGGTAGCGGAAGAGGGCGTCCTCGTCGGCGTAGTTGGCGTGGCCGCCGGTGTCGTGGGTGTCCATGCCGAGGTAGTGGCCGAGGCCGTGGGGGAAAAAGGCGACGCTGGTGCGGTCGCGCAGGATGGCGTCCTTGTCGCCCTTCAAGATACCGAGGGCCAGCAGGCCGTCAATGGCCACCTTGTGCGCGTGCACGTGGACGTCGTCCCAGCGCACGCCCTCCTTGAGGAGGGCGATGCACTCGAGCTGCATGCGCAGCACAATGTCGTAGACGGCGCGCGACTCGGGCGAGAAGCGGCCGGCAATGGGGAACGTGCGCGTGATGTCGGCGGCATAGCACTGGTACTCGGCGCCGGCGTCCAGCAGCAGGTTGAGCTTGTTAGCCAGGGGCTGGTCGTTGTGGATGTAGTGCAGCGTGGCGGCGGCGCGGCCGCTGGCGACGATGCTGTGGTACGCCTGGTTGCGGCAGCCGTGCCCGACGCAGTGGCCGAGGAAGACGCCCTCGAGCTCCTGCTCGTTGCGGGCCTTGCCCACCTGCGCGAGCACGGCGCGGTGGCCTGCGCTCGACACGTCGTTGGCCTTGGCCATCAGGGCCAGCTCGTACGGCGACTTGACGACGCGGCACTCGTCAATGGCCTCCCGCAGGAGCGCAAAGTCGGTCGTGTCGAACCCGAGGAACGTCGTCTGGTCCGACACCTGGCCGTCCAGGGCAAACACCACGCTCTTGCTGCCCGCCGCACGAGCCTTGTTGGCTTTGGCCTTGGCCGCCAGCGTCGCGTTCACGTCCGCCACGTACTTGACCTCGTCCACGTCCCACTGTGCCAGCGCCTCCTCCGCGCTCACCGGCAGGCCCGACCAGACCACCGCCTCCGGGTCGATGGGCGGGATGAAGAGCGTCGACGTTTCCGTCGCCAGGTCGTACACGTAGTACGAGTCCGCCAGCGGGCAGCCCGTCAGGTAGAAAAAGGGCCGCCGCTGCCGGAACGGCTCGGGCTCGTCGTTGTCTTCGAGCAGCTTGGTCGCGCGGCTCTCGAGGTACAGCACGCCGTTCTGGGCGGCCCCGTCGCCGTTGTCCGGCAGCTTGCTCCTGATGTACTCGGCGACGCGCTTGGCGTGCGCCTTGGCCGGGTACTTGCCCTTGAGGACAGACTCGTAGGCGGGCGTGTTCGTCATGGCGGTGGGCGGGGGCAGTTGCATGGGTGTCGAGGTCGACAAGGGGCGTGACGATGACGATGATGATCGAATAGCTGTTCGAAAAGCCTTTGTGGTAGAGGCGATCGTGGAGAGTTGTCGCACAGGAAAACGAGTCGCAAAAGCTGTGATGCGGATGGTGGTGATGCTCGAAGACACGCGAGGCAGTCGATGTGGGAGGCGCATGGAAAGGAAAAGGAAAACAGCGAGGAGGGATGAATACGAGGTGAACGAGGATAGATTGTGCGATCGCGGGGATAGATAGTACGTTACAATTGGCAAATGATAAATGGTCGGGGGGATGTTGGAGCGACTGCCGTCAGCCAGAAGGTAATATTTGTTCTGTACTTGCCTTGTTAAGAGCTCAAGCTCGAAGAGGAAGGTGCCCCGCCTGATCGTTTACAAACGGCTTTCTGTTGCGTGACGGGAAGGTGCAGCAGGCGCAGTGGGGTAAAAATGGTAAAATGGGGGCAGATGCCGAAACAGGTAGTTGGACACGACACGACTGTTTAGGCCAAGACGCAAGTGTTTTACAGTGGACAGTTATAGTGGACGGTTACAGTGGATGTGATAGGCTTGGAGCGGATTTGACGCCCTAGGCATTGGCTTGTTGATGGGACCGGCTTCGCTTCTAGAAGACGAGTGTGGACTGAACAGCAACTCTCCAACAAAGTCGAAACAATGGGACCTGACGTCGGACCCTTATCACGTCGGGCGAGAAATGGCATGTGCTACGGCGGCATGCTACGATCGTAGAAACGGCTGGTCTTCACTGCATGGCAGACGGAACACAGGTGCTCTGTGCTACTCTGCATCCTGACAATGGTCGTGGCATAGTTGTAGTATGTGTATATGTATGCACTGTCGTGCTTGTCATGATTTCGTGACATTCGTAATACTTGGTGTCTTCGCCTGGTTCGCTGGCTCGCTGGCTCGCTAGCTCACCACCACTTTGCGCCGCTGCGTCACATTCACGTTCAGCGAGTCCATCGAGGCCATCACCGCCGCCGTGCCGTCCTGGTCCAGCGACCCCACCGCCCGCCCGCTCTTCATCAGCATCCAGTGCTGCCGCATGTCCTCCACGCACACCGACAGCTCGAACCCGGCCAGGAAACAAAAGTTGATCTCCAGGCGCGCCAGCTCCGCTTCGGTGACGCCGCCGACGCGCGCCATCTTGGTGTGCGCATAGCTCAGGTCCTCCAGTGCCTTCATGGCCACGCGCAGACCCGCCAGCAGCAGGCGGTGCGCGTTGCGGCGGGTGACGGCAATGGCCTTTTCGGACACGGCCAGCCGGTAAATGTAGTAGCTGGTCGCGAGGTAGACGCCCGTGCTCATCGGGCAGAAGCGGTGCAGGCGCAGCAAGTACTCGGAAATGCCAATGGGCGGCGTCTTCTTGCTGTAGAACTTGCGCGTAATGGCCGAGTGCTGCACGTTGAGCGGCTGCGAGTTGGCGCCGATGACAATGTACGGCTCGGCGGGCGGCACGACCAAGATCGGCGCGCCGCTGCTGCTGACTTGCGCCGTTCCTGACGCGTGCCCACCAGTCGGCGACTGTGATGTCGCCCGCAGGTGAACTCCGTCAATCTCCATCTGCATCTGCATCGGCTTGGCCGGCGGTGGTGTCGGTGGTAACCTGGACCGCGACGGTGTCGAGGGTTGTGAGGTTGCTGTCTTGCTTGTGTCGTCGTCGTCGTTGTCGTCGCGCGGTGGTGTACTCCGGTCGTCGCCGGCAACGGCAGCCGCTGCAGCATCTGTCCCTCTCTCCGCGTGTTCGCGCTCTCGCTCGCACTCGCGTTCGCATTCACACTGCGCCGCCGCCTTGCGTTTTCGGTCTTCCCGCTCGGCCTTTTCGGCCGTCTCTGCCTGCTCGCGCAGCCGTGCCAGACTGTTCTCGCTCAGCGTCCGCACAATGACCTCCTTCTCTGCCTGCATGCTGCGCATGTTGGTCGGTGCCTTCGCCTCATCGTCCAACGGTGGTGGTGTCGGTGGAATGTCGCCGGTCAGCCGGACGAGTGCCTCAACGCCCGCGCCCAGCATCTGCAGCGCGGCCAGTGGCGTGACATGAAAGATGTCGTCGGTCAGGGAAGCGAGGCGCGGCGACGGCGCATCGCTGCTCGAGTTGTTGTACGACGAGGAGAGCAAACTTGGGTCGTCGGCTGGTACAGGCGGCGGTGGGGGCGAGTCGGGCGTGGAGCCAGAGTCCTGGCTCTGGTTGCGCTGGTCGTCGTCCGCCATGACGTGTGAGGATGAGGTGGTGGCAAGGTATGAGTAGGAGCGAAAATCAATGTCAAAAATTACATCGAGGTATAGATAGGCTTCCGAGGATGATTTCGCGTATGTGGCGTGTCGTGTACATGCAAAGTACGGTCCTCCGTATGGAATGCGCGCAATGCAGTGCAACGGGCGAGGTATGTCGTCTTGCAAGATAAGCAGCGATCGTCCTGCTTCACATGTCGCGCGCCGGCGCGATTGTTTTACAATCGATGGTGAGACCCTGTGTGGAATACCGTCTGGGCGACTGACTGATAAGGGCCGGAATGTCCACTGGCGTCGTGATATCCCTGACCTGTTCCTGGGCGGTCCTTGGGTATTACGGCGGGATTGTGAGATAGGTGCGTTCAGTTCAGTGCGTGAAAGAGACCGAGAAAATCGGCCGAATGCTGGAGATGGGATACAGTCGACCAGGAGCACCGAAAGCGTGCCGCATAAAATGAATGATATTGGCCGTGGAATGCGTTCGCACGTGCTTTGGTGATTTGAGGCGAGGGAGCGATTCGGACCGAGATTGAAAGAAACGGGTCGAAAGCGCGTGTAGGCACGAACGTGACGGCAATATTGGAGAGTAGACGAGAAGAACAGAGAGGTCGGAGAGATCAGGTCAGGATGTAACCAAAAAAGAAAAGAAATTAAGAAAGAAAAATGGAAAGGAAAGTGAACAAAAGTCAGAAACAGCCAAGAGTTGAGGGTTGCCTCGTGCGAAAGGTGATCCGACTAGAGACATCTGCCAAAATTAAATCATTTAACGGCGAATTCTTTTTCGTCATGGAGGGCGTCAGCAGGCGCCGGCGACCTCATCAAATGGAGAAAAGCGAAACGCGAAAAGAGGAAAGAGAAAAGAGGGTGTAGGAGAGTCGCAACGCAGAGCCGGCGGTTAGGCGGGATTAGCGGGGCCTATAGGCGGGTCATGCGGGTTGGGCAGCGCTCGTCCAGAGCTTGGAGGTGCAAGACGCTGCCACGAGACGGTTCTTCAGAGGCAAAAGCCGCCACAAAGGGACCAAGTGCGCTATCCCTGCAACGAAAGAAAGGGTCCGACAAGGAGGCCCCTTCCACTCTTAAAGGGGCCTGAACACTGAGACAGCAAACAAAGAACGTCGGAAAGGGACCCAAAAGGGTCAAAGACGGCGTCCAGTGGCCTGGTCAGCACTCTTCTGCGTATTCTTCAGTGGACCCAGACACAGCGCTAGTGGGGACGCCAACCTCGGTCGGGAGGCCTGGATCTGGCTTTGGTGGTTTGCGGTGTGGTTTCGTTTTCTAGTGTCTTTCTTTATCGACGCCTTTGTTCGTTCGCAGTGACGACTGGAAAATGGTGGAAGAAGAGAAAAAGGCCAAGGATGACCAACGAGAATAAGAAAGTAGGCGATCGTTTAATTTAGAAGAGCCGAGACTGTGAAAGGAAAGAACAATGCAACGGTGCGTCATGGAAGAAAACAAAGGTCGGTCGTTTGTGGAAGGTGCGATGTACCTCAAGTCTGAATACAGCAGGCAATCCCAACAGACCAAAGCACGGCTGGGAAGGAAAGGGCGGAGGGGTGTTCTACGGCAGGAGCGTTTGGTGACCTCTATGGCCTTTCTTTCGTTTTCTTTACTTTTTGCTTTTCACGATCCCAGTCTCTCGATTTTCCAGTTTGGAAACTTACATCTAACCGCGTGAAGAAGCACAAATTATTCTACTCGGCCCCGATCCCAGGCGCATACGTATCTAGAAGCGTCCACTCCCACTAACTCTATGACGGGACGCCGTCCGACAGGCGAATCTCCCGTCTGGATCTATGTCATTCTTCCTTTTATCACGCATTCCCAAAAAAGGGGCGGCAACAGCCACTCACCCAAACATAAAGGCCATTATGTTTTTGCAGGCGTTTTCTGTGCCTACGCACACATTTTAAATACCACACACCCTTCACATCCTCACCGCCTCTCCTGTATGCCGTCTGCGGCTCGTCTGCCTGTGGGCTGCATCGTGAACGGCAGACAAACCGAATCGAGACGCCAAGTCGTTGCAGCCTCCGAAGCGAGTCTCATAGGCGGCTGTTTTCATGGCAGAGTGCAAATACGACGGTAACAACCGCCTGCTCTGTTGAAGGCTGCCGCACCAACGTCGGTGGTTGGCTCTGGGCGTCGCGCCTCCCCCACGTTCTCCCCAGTGCCACCCCAGTTTTGATTGCAACCCTGCTCCAAATCCGCTCCAGGCGAGCCGTCATGTTGTGGAGGACGAGTGGGATACATGGCAACTTTCCTGGTCTGTGCAGCTCCTCAGACCCTATGGCACCATTCAGTTGTAGTTGCTGGTCGTCGAGCATGTCTTTTTTGAGTTTGTGCCGTGCTGTGCACGCATTCTGCGTGACATATCATTTTATGTTTACGACAGGGCGTCTACTGAGTTGAGGAACCCTTGGCAGACTGTATTTCTTTGTCAGGGTCTCGTTCAGGGTCCTCGTGAGTGACCCACTGGACACCATTGCGGCCCGTGTGCCGCCATCGTTCCCTATCGTACCGTGCACGGATTGCCTTTTCAGGATAGCCTTTGGGGCGGCACTGCATTGGCAACGAGACTGTGCCGTCTACTGTCCCCCCACGTTTCTGGACGTGCGTTTTGAAAATATCGTGATGGCGTTTGATTGTGGTAATGCAACCGACTCATGAGGCCGACTTCGCTGCAGCCGTTTCACACGGATTGACATGTCGATTTTAGGCCGGGAACGTACTACATTGTAGACCAGAGCAAGAGGCATGCCAGTTTGCCAGGAGTGCGGTTACATTGGCAGTGTTCAAAGTATCGTGAATGCAAGATCTCAAAAGGTCATGTCTCATTATTATGCCGTGTAATCCATTTGTACTATCCAAACGCCGGATCCGCAACGAACAATACGCGGCCTTCGTCTATGTGCCGACTGTCGGCTCGACATCGTACTCAACGTCCGTCCGGATGACGTACTTGGCGCCCTTGCGCACACCCGTGCCCTCGTGCAGGAGCGCGCCCCGGGTTTCGCCGTGCGGGAAGATCGCCACAGCGCCCATCACGGGACGCACCGGGTACGCATTCAGCGTGCCCTCCGCGGCGCCCGGCAAAAAAAACGTTGTCTCGCCGCCCTCAAACTCGTCGTTGAGGTAGACCAAGAACGTAAAGAGCGAGCTCTGCTTGTGGCCGTCGGGCGAGTCGTCGTACACGTACGTCCGGTCCGGCCGGACGCCCGACGGCGGCCATGCGCCGTCAATGTGGCAGCGGTACTCGGCGCCGGGCACGTAGCGGTACACCCGGAAGCGCCGGTTGATGCCCCGCGCCACGCGCCCGCCGAGGACCGCCGGCACAAACCGCGCAATGCGGGACCACAGCCGATCGTGGAACGGCAGGTCGACGACCCAGTAAAAGTTGTGCGCCAGAATGCTGACATCGCCGTCCGCGCGGATGGGCGCATCTGGCAAAAAGCCGACGGACTCGCCGGCGGCAATGATGGCCTTGCACTCGTCCGGTGTGAGGACGTCCGTGGCGACGCCGAGGCGCGGCACGGTGGGGTGCGGGTGGTAGGCGATGGAGGCAGGCGCGTCGGGGGCCAGTGGCACGGCGCCCGGAGCCGACGTGTAGACAACGGCAGGGTGGTGGTTCGGGGGTTTGCGCTGTGCCCCATCGGTGGTCTCGATCACGGGCAGGGCGTCTGGGAGGGAGTCGGCGCCGGGTGCATGTGTGAGGATCGACTTGTCCAGGACCGCTGCGTAGACTTGTTCACGGGTTCCCGCCGGCCGAAGGTCCCAAATGTCCTGAACGTGGATGGCTGGTGTGCCGGCAGGGGCTATGGCGTAGCGACGAAGCGCCTCCGGGTTGAGATCGACGGGGCCCGTCGCCCGGAGAATGGCATCGACCACCAAAAGGCGTTCCTTGTCTTCGGGCGAGCGCTCTGTGGTCGCGGCCTGTCTGTCGTCGGGGGATGTGGACAGGCCGCTGATCACGTCAAGATCGCGGACCCACCGACAGAGCGCACCGAGTTTTAGCTCGTCGCCGCGGAGGCGCATCTCGGCCAGCAGCACGCGGGCGTCCATGTACTTGCCGTCGGCCAGCGCCGCCGAAATGCGCGCCGTCAGGTTGGCACCGGCCGCATTGACGCCGGTCGTGCACGCCTGCCGAAAGTCATGGACGGCACCGCGCAATTCTCTGCACTGCTTCGACTTGATGAGTGAGGGGTGCGCCGCCAGTTCTCGCAGCGTCTCGACCGTGATCTCGAGCTCCTCTGTCGATGTCACAGACTGCAAGCTTGTTGGTTCCGGGGGCGAGTCGCTTGGTGGGGAGATGGGGCGGGCGACTTTGGACTGCTTCTGACCAGACTGCCCCTGGGCCTGAACCTGGGCCTTTCGTTTTCGTGACGCCGCCTTTGCGGTCATGTTGTGCGTGCTGACGAGCGATGTCGACGACAGTATCGTGACGTCTGTGAACCGCAAATGGAAAGTTGAAAAGTCAACTGTCAATGCACGTGATACGTACAGTACAATATAACGTGCAAAAGGACGACACACGGTATCCCAATGAGCCGTCTTATCAGCACCTTATCGCCCCTGAATTGGAAATGCGGGGAAAGTACCGCTTGCAATTGGCAATGCCGGTGATAAGCGGGCCGTCAACATTCAATTCCACAATAAATTGGCCGGCAGGAATCTGACGACAAGGATTTGTCCGGATCGTCTCCAACACAAATGCTTGTAACCTCCGGAGCCTCGCGATAATGCGGCACAAAACCCGGGGATTGATGCATACGTAAATGTAGAGCGCGACGCGGCGTTCATTTTAGGCTACTCTTGCCGAATTCTACGGACGGGCGCGTCTGAAAAAGGCAACAGCGTCTGTTACGCGCGGAGTTATCATCGGTCGCAGTTGCCCCATTTTGGCGTCTTGGATTGTGCAAAGAACCGCAGGATGCAGCTTCCGCTTCTGGTAACGACCAAGGATGCAGTGCCTCTTGTGACAAAGACAAACTCCACCAGGAGGACGCTGCGACCTGCGAAGTACAGATTGCTCATGTGAGCACTTCTGTCGTGTCGTTCTTTGAATTTTGATTGGCTGGCTGGGGGACTTTATATAGGAAGCTGCGACCGATATGTTTGAACATGGCTCTTTCTACTTGCACAACAACTTTTTTGGCCAGATGACTTGTGATTTTTGACGTTGTTCAAAATTGCCTCCTTTCTGACGAGTCAACCTCACATTGTCACGGCCAAAGAAACGTTGGAGAACGTCACCCGAGTCACGTCAACGCCAGCATTCCCTCACACCTTACCAGATTTGGCGCGTCGTGTTGTCGCGGAGAAGCAAGTTGTTATTTCCATAACGGGCATTCCTGCCATTTAAGTATCTGTTTCCAAATCCTATCATTCCTTCGCGTCCTCTCTTTATATATCCCTCGTCCCCGTCATCCGTACGTCAACCTATCACGTTTCATACACACACTGTCCCTCCCCAGCTTGCCATGCCACTGCCGACTCCTCCCCCGCTTTTGGGCTTCGCACACTGCCGCGCTGCTCGCCTAGGTTGCGTAGCGGCTGCAAGCGGCTCCCGGCGATGGCTGGCCACAAGTAGCTCGCGTCTGGCAGGTGCCCGGCTGCATCGCGCCGGCATGTCGCCATTGGGCCGGGGCGGGCTAACCTCGTTCGCAGCTCATGGTTTTGGCTCCGCCCGCTCCATGGCCTATATATCATCCAATGCAAACAATGCGGGTGCGCTGAAGACGGACACCAGCAACGCAACATCGATCCAAACCACTCGCCCGCCGCTGCCATCACAGGTTTTTTCTGCTGCTGCCAACCAGACTCGCGCCGCAAGCACATCCGGCACCGCCACCTCCAGCGCGTCCAACTTTCCTAATCCCAACATGTACACGGCGTCGTTTGCCTTTTTCGAGGCGCTGTGGGAAGCGGGTGTGACGCACTGCTTCGTCAACCTGGGCTCGGACCACCCCAGCATCATCGAGGCCATGGTGCAGGGCCAGCGGGAGAAGAAGGACAAGTTCCCCAAGATGATTACTTGTCCAAACGAGGTGAGCGCCCCCGAGTGAGGCACAGGCTCTATTGTCATGTGTCAATTTACGTTGGCTCTCTTCTAACCGCACAGATGGTCGCCATGTCCATGGCGGACGGCTATGCGCGCCTGACGGGCAAGCCGCAGTGCGTCATTGTGCATGTGGATGTCGGCACGCAGGGCCTGGGTGCGGCGGTGCACAATGCCAGCACGGGGCGAGCGCCCGTTCTTGTGTTTGCCGGCATCAGCCCGTTCACGATCGAGGGCGAGATGCGCGGCTCGCGCACCGAGTACATTCATTGGATCCAGGACGTGCCGGACCAGAAGCAGATCCTGGGCCAGTACTGCCGCTACGCCGCGGAGATCAAGACGGGCCGCAACATCAAGCAGATGGTCAACCGCGCGCTCACGTTTTCCAAGTCGCAGCCCACGGGGCCGGTGTACCTCTGTGGTGCGCGGGAGGTGATGGAGGAGGAGATCACGCCGTACCAGCTGAAGCAGGAGGACTGGACGCCGGTGCAGCTGGGCGGACTCCCGCCGTCGGCCGTGCACGACATGGCCACGGCGTTGGCGGGTGCCAAGGAGCCGCTGCTGATTACGGGCTACGCGGGGCGCAACCACGGCGTGGCGCCGGCTCTGGTGGAGCTGGCCGACGCGGTGCCGAAGCTCCGGGTGCTCGACACCGGCGGCAGCGACATGTGCTTCCCTGCGGACCACCCAGCGTGGCTGGGCCTCCGGTTCGGCGCGCACGACGCCATCCGCACGGCCGACGTGATTGTGGTCGTGGATTGCGACGTGCCGTGGATCCACAAGCTCTGCCAGCCCAAGGCGGACGCGCGGGTGTTCCACATTGACTGCGATCCGCTCAAGAAGATGATGCCGGTGTTCTATATTGCGGCGGAGCAGCGGTTCCAGGCGGACTCGCTGCTGAGCATCCAGCAGCTCAACGAGCATTTCAAGACCCGCCCGGTGGCGGACACCGCGGGCCACGACGAGCGCGTCGCCGTGCACAAGGCGCTGCTGGCCAAGATCGACGCGGCGGCCCAGCCGCAGGCCGACGGCGGGTTCGGCGTGGGCCACTTGACCAAGACGCTGCGCGCGACGTGCCCGTCGGACACGATCTGGGCGATCGAGGCCGTGACGAGCACGGGCTTTGTGCACGAGAACCTGCGGCCGACGCAGCCGGGCCAGTGGATCAACTGCGGCGGCGGCGGACTGGGCTGGTCGGGCGGCGGTGCGCTGGGCATCAAGCTGGCGACGGACTACGAGCACGGCGGCGCGAACAAGGGCCGATTTGTTTGCCAGATTGTGGGCGACGGCACCTTTTTGTTTTCGGTGCCGGGCAGTGTCTACTGGATCTCGAAGCGCTACAACATTCCGGTGTTGACAATTGTTCTCAACAATAAGGGTACGCAGACCCCTCCTCCTCTTTCCCCCCCAATGCAATCAAATACTGACCATGCAACAGGATGGAACGCCCCCCGTCGGTCGCTGCTGCTGGTGCACCCCGACGGCCTGGGCTCGCAGGCGACCAACGAAGAAATCAACATTGAGTTCAGCCCGTCGCCCGACTACGGCGGCATTGCCAAGGCGGCCGCGGCGGGCGATCTGTTTACGGCGCGCGTGGACCAGTCGGCCGAGCTGGAGAGCGTGCTGAAGCAGGCGATTGCGTCGGTGCAGAGCGGCACGAGCGCGGTGGTGGACTGCAAGGTGGCCATGGGGTGTTAGGTGTGGGGTGTTCTCATAGAACGGAGTAGACAGGATGCGATGCGTAAGGGGGCCTCAGAGTAGCGAGTTGACATGAATGGGACGTTTAGAGTTCATTTCTCGTCGCCTGTCCGTGCAATGTGCCAGACGCTATGTTGTCGGGTCCTCTTTTCGAAAGCACCATGGTAAAACGGACCAGGGCGTGCGCCCGTCGCTTCCGATCTATCCACGACTCGTCATGGCACATGGCAATGTCCGATGGGTCGATGGGTTGATAGGACCTGGCAGATTAAGCGAGTTGTGAGGCGGGGATCCTTTAATGTTCCATTGGATGTATCCCCCGCGGACTTGGAGTGGTTTCTTCGCCAGACCCGGACCCCAACACCCAACTTAGCCTCCTCGTGGTCTATTTATGGATAAAGACAACAATGTGGAGAAGCAGAGCCGTGCACGGGCGGATATATTCGATCGGAGGGACATTTGGAGACTCCTATTGAGTGGACGGAAGATATCGAGTCCCGTCGACTTTTGCCGTCCAAAAAGAGGTAGAAACGGGAAATGTGGCTCGTCCCAACAGCCATCCGACCGAACGGCGCCAGGGTGCCGAGTTGGAGATTGGGTAGGAACAGACTTTACCACAATCGGCCGTGGGCTGTGGAAGCGATGTTGCGGCGGTCTTTGGATAAAAGCTGTTTGTTGACGTATCTGCGTGGACTGCGGGGAGGACCATCTGCGTACCAAATGAAGGAAGTAAAGAATGGGGTTACGAAATGGGTTGCGTTAATGAAAACGACAAATGAAAACGACATTCGCTCCGCCGAGGACGTACGGAAGGACGGCGTAAGGGACAAGGGGAGAGGGGAAGCGAAAAAGGGAAAGAATACGCTCGATATTTAATTCCCTTGGCATCCTCTGGTTAAGTATCGCCTTTCCCTCTGGTCCTCCTTGTTCAGCGTCCTTTCCCGCTGTTGACCAATCCAGTCCCCCTTTTCTTTTTCTCTTTTCTTTTCTTTTTGCCAGTCTCGAACCATCATGCACACCACACTTGTGCTCGGCCTCGTGTCGACACTGGCCGCGGTCGCCAGCGGCCAGGGCATCAGCAAGGTCAACGACTTCAACGCCGGGCCGACAAAGCTGGGCATGTACGTGTACGTGCCCAAGACGCTCGCGAAGCCGGCGCCGATCCTGGTGGCGATCCACCACTGCCAGGGCTCGGCGCAGGGCTACTCGACGGAGACGCACTACCAGCCGCTGGCGGACAAGCACGGCTTTGTCATCATCTACCCCAACTCCAAGTCGGGCGGCGGCTGCTTCGACGTGGCGTCGACGGCGTCGCTGACGCACGACGGCGGCGGCGACAGCCAGACGGTGGCCAACATGGTCAAGTACGCGATCCAAAAGTACGGCGGCGACGCCAACCGCACGTTTGTGACGGGCTCGTCGTCGGGCGCTATGATGACCAACGTCATGGTGGGCGCGTACCCGGACGTGTTCCAGGCCGGCAGCGTGTACTCGGGTGTGCCCGACGGCTGCTTCTTCGTGCAGGGGTCGACGGCGACGCAGGACCCGCCGGGCTGGGCCAACGCCTGCGCCAACGGGCAGCTGACCAAGACGGCGGCGCAGTGGGGTGACCTGACGCGGTCGTACTACAAGGGCTACACGGGACCGCGGCCGCGCATGCAGATCTGGCACGGCACGGCCGACAACACGCTGCACTACCCCAACTACCAGGAGACGCTCAAGCAGTGGTCCAACGTGCTGGGGCTGTCGGACCCCAAGACGGCGGCCAACACGCCGCAGAGCGGCTACACGCAGACCATCTACGGCGCGGGCACGTCGACGACGGCGCAGCTGGTCGGCTACAGCGGGCAGGGCGTCGGCCACACGGTGCCGGTGCACGAGTCGATGGACATTGCCTTTTTTGGCCTGGACAAGTGAGAGGTGTGCTGGTGGTGGCGTGGATGTGGAACTGCGGGTGGCTTCGGCCGGCTGGTGTCTATCGGCTGGTGTCTACACAAAATACCGTTTGATTGTACATAACCGTATTCTCTTCTTTTATTTCAATATTATGAAAGTGATCCAAGATTGGCGAGGTTGGAAGGCCAAAATACATGTGCAGGTCAAGTAAGCCTTGCGAGAACGATTGCATTTTATATTATTTTATTTGAAGAGGTATTTACTGGTAGATATATGAAAACTCGCTTCCAATATGATTCCCCCCAACTCGCTGTTTAAAATATGCCAAACAGTGTTGCATCCGACGTACAATCCAGGTCATGTCCGTCTCCTTCGATTAGACCGTCGGAGTGGACTTGTCGCTGCTGTTTCTGTTTGACCAGGACGGCGCAGCAAATACCAGTTTGACCGTCATGGCCGTCGTCGCCGCAAACAGCAGCCATTCCAGTCCGCCAAAGACGGCCGCGGCCGTGATGCTGCCGCAGCCGTGGCTTTGGCTGAGCGGACAGGCGTTGGTGCCAATGTTGACGGCGACGGCAACAAAGCCCGCGAGCCACGACAACAGGGCCACGGCCTCGACAGCCACGAGGACGTAGCCGACGATGCGATGGTGAGCAAAATAGACGGCGGCGACGACGAGGACGACGACACCCAGAACGGTCCAGGCAGCGCAGAAGAGAAGGAAGCCCCAGGCGCTGGGGACGCCGACGTAGTCTGTAAAGTCGCCAAACGCGAAGTGGTCGTGGACCGTATGACCGCGGAAGGCATGGATGGCTGGCCGTGTTAGACTGGAGGCGATGACACGAAGACAAAATAATGATTAAAAAAATAGGGAGGCTCTCTTACCATATCCGTCTGTTCCCAGGACGGCAATGGCAAACACAACCTGAAGTGTCCGCAGGACTATATTGACTGTCCGACTGGCAGCAATGTTGGCGAGCATGATGACGGTGCTGTGTGCCAAACGGGGTTGTTTGAAAGGCGTATGGAAGCGAAGATTGCGCTGTTCTTCTCGTGGAGAATAGCAGTTGTGATGTGTTTGGAGATGGAACTATATTTTATTATAAAATATCGTCAACAGATAGACTTTACTCCTCTTTATATACATCGGCGACAAACGTTGACAATGTCACTGTGAACACTGGACATTGACCTCTTACACGGTGTTCCTTATCTGGCTAGACAGGTACGAGCGTGGCCATGCTGCGGTTGATACGATTCGCTGTTTTGTCCGGTGGACGGTCAGCCCTACTGTCCACGACCTCGTATATGCCTAACCGCATTGGGCCGACTCGGACAATCCGCCATTTCCCACTGCCCTGTTTCATGCTCCGAGCAGCGAGTATTGTCGGCGTCTTGAATCTCTGTGTCGGGAGAGATTGTTGTTGCCTCTCTGCAGCATTTCCTGGCATCGACTATTATCCAACTACGCCTTTTACGTCGACGCTGTCCCGAAATGGACCCGCCAGAGAAAAAGACGCGCGAAAGCACGTCCAAGGTGCGCACAGGCTGCCGCACCTGCAAAGCGCGGCGAGTCAAGTGCGACGAGGCCAAGCCCGTCTGCAAGCGCTGTGCGGTCGGCGGGCGGTCCTGCACGTACGTACCTGCAAAGGCTGCGTCGCCCGTGCGGCAGAACGTCATTGTCGTGTACGTGCCGCCGCTTCCGCCGCTGCCACCGCCGCTGCCACCGCCGTCTGTCCACGACGCCGGCATCGACTTCTTCCACCACCACATCGCCGCGAGCCTCGACGGCCAGGTCGACCCGCTCTTGGGATCGGCGTTTTGGGGCCGGCTCGTGCTGCAGCTCGCGCACGCCGAGCCCTGCGTCCGGCACGCCGTCGCGGCCGCCAGCCTCGTGCACCAGGACGTGCAGCTGGCGCTGCGGCACCCGGCGGGCTACGTGGCGGCGAACCGGTGCGCGCACGCGGCGTGGCAGAGGGCGGCCCAGAGCCTGGCAGCGCGCATCCAGCGGCAGCCGGACGTACACCTGGTGGCGCTGGTGTGCTGTCTGCTGTTTACGCTCATTGAGTTTCTGCGCGGCCGCGCCGCAATGGCGATGCTGCACGTCGAGAACGGGCTGCAGATCCTGGCGGCCCACCGCCAGAGCCGACGCGCCAAGGCGACAATCACGTCGTCACGCCATCAAAGTCGAAATCGAAGGCGAGACCGCAGCGCCGTCGAGGACACCATTCTGCCCATCTTTGCGCGGCTGAACATCATGTCCACGCTCGCGGGCAAGATGACGCCGCCCGCCTATGGTACCATGGACGACTACGACGGCGACGACGATGATGATGACGACGACGAAGCCTTTGACCTCGCCGACGTCGAGCTGCGGCTGGTGGCCATCCTGGACACGTGCATTCGGTTCATCGGGCAGGCCAGTACCAAGGCCGCCGCGCTGGCGATTGACGTGGCGGACTTTGCCGAGCAGACGCGGCTGCAAACCATGCTCGACGCGTGGCGGCGGCAGTTCGAGCGGCTGGTCGGCCGAACGAGCGGCACGCGCCGAACGCGCGCTGTCGGCCTCCACCACCAGTTCATGGTCCACGTCAAGGCCGTCGGCGTTTGGCTGCGCGTGTGCACGACGGCCAGCGAGACCGCCGTCGACGCGTACCTGGCCGACTTTGTCGAGCTGGTCGACCACGCCACGCACGTGGTGGGCGGCCCCCACGCCACACAACAACAGGCCCTCGTGTCGTTTGACATTCAGGTCCTGGGCCCGCTGTACTACACCGCCCTCAAGTGCCGCCACCCGGCCACGCGGCGACGCGCCCTCGCCCTGCTCCGGTGTGCGCCGCGCCGCGAAGGCCTGTGGAACGCGCACGTCGCCTACGCCACGGCGCAGCGCGTCATCGAGCGCGAAGAGCGCCAGCTGGACGCCCGGGGCTGGCCCGCGGAGGCGGCGCGCGTGCACGGGCTGCCGCTGGCCGACGAAGAGTCGCGGGTCCGCGTGGTGGGCCCGGACCTCGGCCACGTCGGCACACCCCTCGACCTCGACTTCAACCTCGACATTGTCCTGAGCCCGGCGCACCCGGCGGCGCTGGAGACCGAATTCCGGACGAAGCCGTGGGGCCTGGCCGGGCCCTGGCACGTTGCGCAAGAGTACATTACGCCATGACGGGCCTGTATGTAGTGTAGTAAAATAGTCTTGTTCTCTGCGATATGGTGTACGTATGCAATACATATAGATGGTCACATAAACGTCACTTTGAATGCCCCATCTTGCAGACGGCAAAGCCGCCGTACTGCAGCACCGCCGCGCCCACCAACACATTGTTCACCGGATCCAGCGCCATCGCCGTCATGTCGCTCAACACGCCGCCGTCGTCAAAGTACAGCAGCTCGGGCGCGTAGTCGCTGGCCTTGGGCAGCCGCAGCGTGGCCGCCGGCACGCGGAGCTCTTTGCCGAGCTTGTCGACGTTGGCCAGGTACGCGGGGAGATTTTCGACGGTGGGGAAGACTGGCGGTCAGTGGTGCAGAGGACAAGGTACCGCTGGGCTGGGATGGCATCCTACCTGCTACGATGAGATCGCCCGTGGAGGGATCAATCTTGATGTTGTCTGCAGCGGCGCCGAGTTCCTGCGCAAGTGAGTCAGTTGCCGTTTCCCGGTGTCCGGTGCTGTGGTACTCGACGCGTGAAACTGTGCAAACTTCCAAGCCCACGTACCACCTGAGACAGGTATTCAACGTCATGGTCGGCGCGCTGCTGGAAGACGCGCAGGGTTCCGTTCTGCGAGTCGCCGACAAACAGGCGGTCCTCCCAGACGGCAATGCCGTTGGCGGCAGGGAAGGGGCCGACCACGGTCTTGCAGACGGTCGTCTATCACCAAGGGACATGTCAGTACACAGTGCTCGGTTCGGGTACGTCGCAGTCCAGACTTGCCTCGCTCGCTGCGTCGCAGTATTGCACGTTTGTGGCCCACGTCCACGGCCCGAAGTGTTCTTCGAGCGTCCGCCACGGATCGGAAAAGAAGTAGTGGTCGTTTGTGACGTAGAATTCACTGCCGTGTCGGTGTCAGCATACGATTATTGACCCGATGGACGGGGCCTGCAGAGGGGAGATCTGGGTCACGCACAACAACCCCACGGCCGCGACGCCGTTGGCCGTCTTGATGTTGGGGTGCCGGACGTCCCGGACCAGTACCACCGTGTCGGTGCCCAGCTTGTGCGAAAAGATGCTGACGGAGTCGCCCGTTCGTGTGTGCCGCACGGCGAAGATGTGGATCGTGGACGGATCGTCCGGCGGCGACCAGATGTCCACGCCGTGCGTCACAAAGTCGCCCTCTACGCCCTCGATGCGCAGCTCGGTCGTCACGCCGCTCTGGAGGTCGTGCTTGAAGAGAGTCTCCCGGAACGACGACCCGACGGCCAGCCGGCCCCGGGCATCGCGCTGCCCGGCCGGCGGGTACCAGTGCGCCCGTCCGCGCGGATCGCCGCACGCCGCAAAGACGGTGCTCGACGCGGCGTGCACGACGACGTCTTCGCAGGCGTTGGCGGCGGTCTCGACGACACAGGCGCCGTTGTTGAGCGGCCGGCTGGCGGCCCACTGCTGCAGCCGGCCGGCCTTGTCGATGTGCATGTGGCCCGCGGCGGCGGCCAGCTGGTCGGCGAGGGCGACAAGGACGGGCGGGACGAAGACGGCGGCGGCGGCGGCGGCCGCGACAGCAACGGCGGCGGCGATGCGACCGGAGGAGACTGTGACCATGATGTTGCGATGAAGTCGGGTTGGCTGGTTTGACGAGCGATGGGTTGTTGCGCCAAGGTGCTACTTGTCTCCAATTGTGTTTTCGATCGGAGATGTTTCATCCGATGAGCACTGCCACATCGCCGAGATCGGCAGATGTTCTTCGTGCCTGTCAGAACGACACCCGCACAGATTTGGTAAAAGAACCGCAGGGCCCAGGAACGACTGGAGAGACTAGAGTTTTGTTTGCTAGTCGTTGTCGTCGCCAAGCCCGAATTTTACAATGTTCACGTCGTCCTCGCCAAGGCGACCAAACAGAATATGGCAACGAGTTCGCAAAGCATCGACGGTCATAAGCCGGGCATGGACGGCTCCCCTTGCCCATCGTCGACCGTCGCTTTTGCCTCGAAGCTAGTGCCTTCGTTCCGTGAAACTTGGCTGTAGCGTCCCCACGGGGAATGGATCGACGGTCGTAGACGTGGGGGACGTGGGACGTGGGAACGTCAGAGGGCAAAACGGTTAGCGTATAACGATGTTGACGGCCACTGCCACGCAAAACTGATCCTTGGCCCTCTCCCCTCGCGCGGCTACACGGTTGGCGGTATATGTGCACCCGTGGAAGAATGCAGCCGTTTGCAGGGACAGGGCCAGACGACACGTGAAGAGGATTCGGGATTCGGAGCGGGGATGTAAACGACGAGTGCCGAGCGCGGAGTCGGAGTCCAGGTCGAGGTCCAGGTCTAGGTCCAGGGTGTGGCGAGTCAGTGGTTTCCATGTTGGCGGGCGTTGTTAAGAAGGGTATATGTGTGCTGCACCGCCGTATGTTTACTGTCGACTCTTCTCGTCTCTCGTCATCACCAACCCATTCACAACGTCCGTCATCACAATGGCTAAACGAGCGCTTACCAAGTACAACATCCTCATCATCGCCTTTGCGGCGCTGGGGTCGCTGACCTTTGGCTACTCCAACATGATAATCGGGAGCACGCTGGGGCAGCCGACGTTTGTGTAAGTGGCGGGCGGTGTGGTCTGTCCTGCACCATGATCACTTCACTCACGACTTCACGTCACCACTTCATCACCACTTCATCACCACTTCGTCACCACCTCCACCACCACCACCAGCTAACGCGCACAGGGACTACTTCCACGTCAACCGCGGCGGCAACGCCGACAAAATCACCGGCGCCATGAACGGCATCTACACGGGCGGCGGCTTCCTCGGCGCCCTCTTCTCGGCGTGGACGGCCGACCAGTACGGCCGCAAGAAGACCATCTTCCTCGGCGCGCTGCTGGCCACCATCGGCGGTGGCATCACGGCCGGCGCCATGAACCTGGCCATGTTCCTGGTGTTCCGCTTCGTCAACGGCTGGGGCATCGGCATGCTGCTGTCACTGGTGCCGCTGTACCAGAGCGAGGTGTCGCCGCCGCACAACCGCGGCCTGATGGTCGGCTTCCACGGCGTCCTGGTTACGATTGGCTACTGCGGCGGGAGGTGCGTCCTACAACCCCGGTGACAGGCTGCTTGCATTGCCCTTACTAATATGTCCGCAGCTGGATCGGCTTCGGCTTCTACTTCTTGAGCGGCCTCAACGGCGCGCAGTGGCGCCTGCCGCTGGCCATCCAGGCGATCCCGCCGCTCCTGTGCTGCTGCAGCATCCTCGTCCTACCGGAGTCGCCGCGCTGGCGTAAGTGGTCCAGAGAAATACGTCGATGCTGCCCAATGTGCTAACGTGACCCAGTCATCGCGCAGGACCGTGCCGAGGAGGCGCTCGCCATTGTGCGCCGCCTGCACCACGACCCCAAAGACCCCGACGACGCCTATGCCGTGCGCGAGTATCACCAGATCCTGCAGCAGCACGAGATTGATCGCAAGTTCAACGTCTCGTGGTACGAGCTGTTTGCCAAGCCGTCGTACCGCAAGCGCATGATTATCGGCTTTGTTGTCCTGTTTGGTGCCCAGACGACGGGCACCACTGTGATTGCGAGTGAGTTCCACCCGTGACTGTTTTGGAATGGCCGTCCATCTTGCCTTTTCTGTTCGTCGCTCGCTGACGCTCGCTAACGCTCGCCAGACTACGGCCCCCAGCTCTACAGCACCCTCGGCTTCGACTCGACCCTGCAGCTGCTCCTCAACGCCATCTACGCCACCATTGCCCTGGTCGGCAACTTCTTCAACGCCTTCACGCTCGACCACGTCGGCCGCGTCAAGGCCCTCAAGATGGGCTGGCTCGGCGACCTCGCCTGCCTCGTCGGCGAGTGCATCGCCCTCAGCGTCTACGAGCGCACCGCCTCGCGGCCCGCCGCCGTCGCCTGCGTCGTCTTCTTGTTTGCCCACATCTTCTGCTTCGCCTTTAACATTGACGTCACCACCTACGTCTACACCTCCGAGATCTTCCCCAACCACATCCGCTCCAAGGGCATGGCCTGGTCCATCAGCGCCTACTTTGCCGCCCTCATCGTCTACCTGCAGGTGGCCCCGACCGCCTTCAACACCATTGGCTGGAAGTTTTACCTCGTCTTCATCCTCGCGCTCGCCGCCTTTATCACGCCGCTCTTCTTCTACTGCCCCGAGACCAAGGGGCTGAGTCTCGAGGAGATTGGCCGCCTGTTTGGCGACGAGGCCACGGACATTGCCCTCGACGGGCCGAGCCGCCTCGACGACAAGCTGGGCATGGGCCGCGATGTGGAGATGATGGAGCCGGTGCACGACGAGGGCGAGGAGTAGTGAAGAGGAGGGGCGTTGAGGACGAGAGATGAAAGGGAGATCAATAGAGTCCCCGGGACAAGGACACGGGGAGACGGACACAAGACACGTAGGTATATGGCAAGAGAGACGTGGCATTCGAGTGTTCTGATTAGAATAGAGATGGATTTTTCGTTGATTTTGTAAAAAGTCTAGGTAATTCTCGTAAATTATCAATATCGTCGTTAGATGTCTGTTCGCAGTTAATGCAGTCTTTTATCCAACATCCAACGACATTGACAACCATGCTCGTGGCCACCGTGCGGCGGGCGGACATTCTCGTCTACTTTTTGATCTTTGTTATATACCCTACGTGCTTGTATTCTGGTTCGACACCATTCCCGTTGCGCCTCAGTCCATAGTGACCTCCCCAATCACCCACCTACCCCTTGCTGAAGCGTGACAGCGAAAATTGCTCCAACGCCTTGTCCCTTGTGCCCGTGGCCACCAAATCGGCCAGTGTCTGGCCAACAAAGGCGGCCAACGTGACACCCGAGTGCATCACGGCCAGCGTCAGTCCCGGCCTCCCGCTGTCCCCCAGAATGGGCAGGCCGTCGTCGGGGTCGGGCCGGTAGCCGACGGTGTAAAAGTCGAGTTCCAGGGGCGGGCAGGGCACGCCGTCGAGCTCGGAGCGGAACATGGCCTGCACCTTTTTGAAAAAGACGTGGGCCTCGGCGTCTGGATCCGCGGTGGGGCTGCCGCCCGAGTAGTGGCGGCCGGCAATGATGCGGCCCTCGACGGTCTGGCGCATATGGGGCCCGTTGGATATGGCGAGGCCGTGGAGGAGGCGGGTGGCCAGGGGCTTGGAGTGGACAATGAGGCCCGGGCGGCTGTGGACAGGGACGGCGACGCCGACCGCGGCCGCGAGCGGGACCGTGCCCAGGCCGGCCGCGAGCACGACGTGGTCTGCCCTGATGGAGCCGGACGGGAGCACGACGCCGACAATCCTGTCGCCCTCGACCAACAAGCGTTCCACGGTCGCCTCGCGCACCGCGGCGCCGTGGGCCCGCGCGTCGGCCACCAGCGCCCGCGCCGCCCGCGCCGGCTCGATGCTGCCCTCGCCCGGCAGCGCGGCCGCCCAGCCCCAAGCGGGCAGACCGGCGTCGGCCAGCCACGGCTCGCGGCGCAGGACCTCGTCGTTGGTGATGCGCGCCGCCTGGTAGCCCCAGCGCGCGTGCTGCTCAATGTAGCGCGCGAGGTCCGCCTCGTCTTGCTGCCACTGGACGGTGCCGTTCCAGCGGGCGAGTTCGGCGAGGCCGGGCACGTCGTGGATCAGGTCTTTCCAGTGGGCCATGGAGCGGTGGCGGACGTCAAAGTAGGGCCGGGCGTTGTTGAAGTTGGCGTTGAGCCAGGCAAACGAGTTGGGCGTGGCCGTGCCGCCGCGGTCCATGTCGGGCGCCACCACGGTCACCGTGACGGTCTGGCCGTGCTGGGCCGCCAAGTGCCAGGCGATGGAGGCGCCGACGATACCGGCACCAACAACAACGACGTGCGGCTTGTCGATGGTCATGTTGGGTGGACGTGAGCGATGGACAGGGGAGGATCGTAACTATTGATCGTTGGAATGATGCCGCTTTGATGCAGTATGTCTCTTTGAGCGATGCTAATGTCGACTCCTTTCACTAGTTTATATGTTTTACTGTATATATTTTTATATTTTATTGCCGCGCCTCATTCTCTTCCCAACACCACTTCCTCTCACCCCCGGCATTGGCTGGGAACGGGCAATCACTCGGATTCTTCCGGGCTGGTTCGGATCGCTTCAAGAGGCAACAGAACTCGACTTTTGTCACAATGGTACCAGCGTATTGTCATAGTCTGGGGCTTGATAGGAGTGGATCCGTCAAACGATCGTCGGATCTCTCCATGGCCTCTGGTTGGCCCCCGCATTTTGTCACATTTTAGTCGGTGCCACTCGTATTCTTCCGAGTTGATAAGCTGTCGAGATACTCCGTGCAGCTGGCAAACTGTCGACATGATATCCTCGTCCGAAATCCGGGGTATAAACATGGGACTCTGCAATCATGTTCTCATGTTGTTGTCGTTTCCTTGTCTGTTCACTCTTTCACTCGCCTTCACAACCCATCACTTTGCACCACGTATTGTCTCTTGCCCTCCGTGAGCTGTTGTGAACTTGCACACGTTCTGTACCCCCCGCCCACCCCCATCATGCCCTCCTACGGCTTCGACGTGCTGGCCCGGCGCGTCAGAAACATCCAGCAGGCGCCGCGGGCCGTGCTGGTCAGCCCGCACCTGCTCGGCACGGCGTTTGTGTTTGCCTTTGCCGGGTTCCCGGCCGTCTGGGACCAGGGCTCGGCGTCGGTGCTGCCGTCGCTGCCGGGCTACGACGCGTTTTTCCACGTGTCGACGGGCGCCGACGCCGGCCGGATCCGGGACCTCGTGTCGCTCGTCTACATTGGCTACGCCATCGGCTCGGCGTCGACGTTTTTTGTCAACGACCGCATCGGCCGCCTGTGGGCGTACCGGCTGTACGCGCTGGTGTACATGGCGGGCCTCGTCGTGTCCATTGCGGCGCCGGGGCTCGCCGGGCTCAACGCGTCGCGCATTGTCACGGGCATCGGCATCGGCGCGCTGACGGTCACGGGCCCGATGGCGATTGCAGAAATCAGCCCCGACGAGATCCGCGGCATGCTGACGTCGTGGTTCGGCGTGTGCATGTCGCTGTCGCTCATCGCGTCCGTGTTCTGCGTCTACGGCGTCTACGTGCATATGGCGGCGACGCGGCTGCAGTACCAGGTCGTCTGGATCGTCCCCGTCGCGGCCATGGCCGTCGTCGTGGCCGCCAGCTTCGCGTGCTGCGAGTCGCCCAAGTGGCTCATGATGGTCGACCGCTACGACGACGCGCTGGCCGCGCTCGTGCGCCTGCGCGGCCTGCCGGCCGACCACCCGCGCGTCCGCTCCGAGATCACCGCCATCCAGGACGCCGTGCGCGCCGCCCACGTGGACGCGACGAGCGAGCGGGCGCGCATCCGCTCGATTGTCAAGGACACGTTTGGCGTCGGCGCCAACCTGCGGCGCGTCCAGCAGTGCCTCGTGTCCTACCTGCTGGCCCAGCTGTCCGGCGCCAGCCAGATCACGTCGTACCTCGTGCCCATCATGACGCTCCTGGGCGTCGCCGGCTCGACCGAGGACAAGCTGTTCCTCAGCGGCCTCTACGGCGTGGCCAAGCTGGCGTCCGTGCTGCTGGCGTCCTTTTGCCTCGTCGACACGCTCGGCCGCCGCCACTCGTTGTTCCTCGGCATCGCCTTGCAGATCGTCTCCGACGTCTACATTGGCGTCTACCTCAAGTACAGCCAGGCCGGCCCCGTGCCGCACGCCGCGTCGCAGGCCGCCCTGGGGTTTCTGTACATCCACGCCTTCGGCTACTGCATCGGCCTGTTCCTGCTGCCCTACGTCTTTGGCGCCGAGCTGTGGCCCGACCACCTGCGCACGTTTGGCGGCGCCCTCGGCCAGACGTTCCACTGGCTTTTTATTTATGCCATGAACTATGGCCTGCCGTCCCTGCTCGCCGAGACGCACAACTGGGGCGCGTTCCTCTTCTTCGCGGCCTTTTGCGCCGTCGCGCTCGTCTACGTCTTCTTCATGGTGCCCGAGACGTCCGAGCTGTCGACCGACGAGATTGACCGCCTGTTCCAGGGCCCGTGGTTCCAGGCGTACAAGACGAGCCGGCTGATTCTCGACGGCGTCGACGGCGTCGACGGGGCCCGTGGCACGGAGGGGGAGGAGGACGAGGAGAAGCGGGAGGCGGGACGTTGAGGGAGGCGAGAGGTGTTGCGTTCCAAAGAGGTGTATGGATAGTATATATAGTGTCACGATATCATTCACCAATGTAGCTATAGCCATCTTGTGAATCCCTGCCAACCCCTGACCTATGTAAACGCAAACGTCTCTGGCGCCTCTGTCAATGCGTCCTCGTTGATCCACTGCATCACCTCCCACGGGTCGTCCAAGCCGCTGCTCTCGGCCGCCAGCGTCGACGCCTCTACACTTTCCAGCCATGCCGCTGTATCTGGACTGCCTTTGTTGTTGTTAATGTCCCCCCCATTCATCCCGTTCCCCGCCAGCATCGCCATCGTCTTGCGCGACAGCGTCTCAAACATGTCCCGGTACGCCGCCGCCCGCGTCCACCGCGCCGCCATCACGGCCAACACCATCGAGCAGTCCATGCACGTGCTGCTCACGGCGCTCAGCGACCGGGCCGCGCGCGCGGCCGGCGACGTCCAGAGGCTGTGCAGGTACGTCAGGCCGGCCAGGAACAGCACGTGCAGGCAGCCCCACGTGCAGCCGACGCGCCCGAGGACAAACTGCCGGTAGTAGCCGCGGGCGATGCGCTCGGTGGCGTCGAGGCAGGCGTGCACGACGGGCGCCGGGACGGCCGCGCGGGCCTCGACCAGGTGGTTGCGGTGCAGCAGCAGGATGGAGTGGTGGTAGTTGGTGTCGTACCAGTCCGGGCTGCCAAAGAGCGTCAGGGCCGCCCCCGTGCGCGGCGGTGCCGGTGGTGCCGCGGCGCGCCACGCGTCGAGCGCAGCCTGCAGCTGCTGGATGCGGGCCGTGTAGGCGGCGTCGGTCGTGCGGATGCGGACGCGTGTCGTACTGTCGCTGAAGAGGGCGACGTGGATCTGGGCCCAGAGCCGGCGCAGACGGAACATGTGCAGCGCCACCGACAAGTCGGGCGCCGGCGCACAGAGGCCGGTGCCGCCGTGGGCGTCCGCAAACACGCTGCCGTCGCCCATGTTTTGGGGGAGCTGTCCGTCAGTGTTGTCCAGGTACTCTCCCTTACACACCAGCGGGGGGGGGTCAGCGAACGTACCTCTACATCAATGTCCCACAGCGACACGCCAAACGGCCGCCCCAGAAACAGCGCCACCGAGCAGTCAATGGCAAACGCCGTCCAGAAGGCACGCTTGCGGAGCTCGATCTGCACGCTGCCCAGCCGCGCCCCAACGCTGCGCTGGGCGGTCCGGTGGTAGCCGAGCTCGATGCACTGCCGCAGCGCCAGCCCCGTCAGCTTCCACACCGACGGGCCGGACGGCGAGCGCAGCGAGTACACGCAGCACGCCAGCAGCGCCTGCACGGACTGCAGGTTGTCCCGGTGCAGCACGCCGTCCATGGACCGCATGGCCAGGGCGTAGAGCTGCTCGGGGTCGTGGCGTGTCGTCGGCAGCAGCAGGGCACCAATGGCGTAGACCATGTACACAAAGAAGGAGGCCATGTCTAGATCCGACTCCGACTCCGACAACGGCACTGGAGGTACCGACGACACCCGCTGGACCTCCCAGAGGCGGAACGTCGGCTCGTGCAAGAACGGGTACTGGATGTGGATGTTCTCAAAGTACGCATTGCTCAGCACCAGGCCCTCTTCGTACGTGGGGGCCGTCGGGAGGTTCCTGTGCATGTCGCCGGGGATGGGCATGGGCATGGGCATGCCTGGCCGCGCACCAAGGCAAGGCCTGCCGCTCCCCGCATCGCGCAGCAGCAGCGACGTCCCAATGGCCCGCGAAAAGGCAAACGCCGACGAGGAGCCCAGGTACCGGGGCTCCATGCCCGTGGCGCACAAGCCAAGCATGCCAACGGTCGCGGCCAGGCCGTCGACGTCGCTGTCGTTGTTGTCATTGTCGTTGTTGTCATTGTCGTTGTCGTTATTGTCGTTGTCGTCATCGGCCTCTTTGTCAGTGGCTGTGACATTTGTGCGTGGCAAACGCCATGTCGGTGAGCCCGTCGTGCATGGTGTTGGTGCCTGTGTGTGTCTCTGTGTCTGTGTCTGCCCATCTCTCAACAACCCCTCGAGATACGCAACCCGCGTCTCCAGGATCTCCAGGTAGTTGCGCGGCTGGTGGCGCTTCGTGATGGGATCCTCGACCAGGCAGGCTTGCCAACGAAATTAGTCTTCTGAACATGCACACTTGCCACCTCACTCTCAACTCACGCTCCACTCACTCTGGCTGAACCGCACACAGCTGGCACACGCCGGCACGCCGTTGTCGCACCGCAGCTTGTGCTCCTTGCAGTAGATGCACGCCACCAGCATGCGCGCCCCGGTGCGGATGCGCTGCGGCTCTTTGCTGCGCCGCCGGTCGTGTGCGCTGGGGTGGGACGAGAGCATCTCCGGAGCACCAAATGAACAATTAAGAAGACAGTGGAGGTTGCACTTGTTCGCAATGGCCATGTCCAGCGAATTGGCATTTGATCCATTGTCTTGTCATATACAGACTTGTGAGGAGAGCGATAGATCGACTGCCCAGTCTCAAACGGGGATAGTGTCGGAAGAATACGACTGCGACCGTTCATTGGTGGCGTTCATCGGTGATTGAACTATTTTGTACGGGTACGACTGTGATGCTATTGCAATAGTGCAATAGGATTCCCGTGATGCACACCTACAGATGAGGCTGATCAACTCACGTCTGACCTTCTGAAATATGATTCAATTGAATGTTGTATGTATTCACGAGAGCATCTCGAGTCATGTATTCTCGTCCACAGTGTACTTGTTCTCCCCCCCCCCCAATACAACCTTCCTAACAACTATTGTGATCGATAATCACATTCCACTTGTGGTCGTTCGAAAAGATTTGGCCGCGCACTGTCGACGACCACGTGTTGCCGCCCGCGTATGTCGTCGTCTGGCACTCAATCAGCAGCTGCACGGCGTTGTCGGCAATCAGCTCACAGGGAATCGACACGGCAAAGTCGTTGTCGTTGCACAGCCAGATGCTGGCGTTGTCGCTGCACGTCAGGCGGGTGCAGCCACCGGCGCCGGGCGCACCGGCGGGGGCGCTGCAGCTGCCGGTGCCCGTGTTGTAGAGCTGCTTGATGCCGGCATCGATGGGCGCGACGTCGACCAGCGTGCCATAGGCACAGGTAAAGTCGGTCGACACGGGGTTGGGGTTCTCGCGTTTGGCGAGGCCGGAGGCAGGGGTCCGCGCGAGGCCATGACCAGCATCACGGAGGGCCTGTGGAGAGGTTAGATGGGGGGGACGTGAGCGAGAAGCGTGCAACGGCGACGGACAAGGACAGGGGTCGATAATTACCAGTGCAGATACGGTGGCGGCGCCCAGCAGGACGGCAAGCGAGAGGGTGCTCTTCATGGCGAAGCCGAGTTGTGAGGTCGGCTTGCTTCTTTTCTGTCGATCGTTGAAGTCTGCGAAGACGTTAAAGTCTGCGATGACGTTAAAGTCTGCCAAGAAAACACAACCAAACGACTAGTGGATGTAGACCCAATTGGCGGTAACGAGGCACAAGATATAAAGTCGGCAGATGGACTTGGCGGAACGACAGATGAAGCAGAACCTACTTCAATTATAAAGTGCCATAAAGGGCCATGACTCGCTGGACGGCATCACGGAGGGGGGCTAGGTCGGACTTTGTTGTCTAAAAACACCGACCGACGTTGTCCGTGGCATATTACAAGTCGCCGACATCACTCGGTGCTTCTATTTCCATTAGGAGGCTTAAGGGCTAGACAGGGCCTCGAGGGCGTGGTAGCTCCCGGGTCACGAATAGCGTATCATCTGATCCCGTGGCGCAGCGGGATCGACGCGAAGGATCGATGGCCTGGGTGGCTGATGCACTGGGAGGTCGGAATTGGCAGGTAGACGTTAGCAAGTGTGACGTTGCGCCGATGCTGCCGCTTGGGTGAATTGGGGAAACTGAATATGAACATGTTGTACTGCATAACGTAGCGGAAGACAACAAAACATCCACGACCGACGCTCCCCGTCTTGTTCTTCCTTTGGTAAGGTAATCAACGCAAAGCGATGCCAGTAGGGCCGACTTTCACGGTGGGAAGAAAGAATACTTGTAGGCGTGGGAGGGAAGAAGAAAATAAAAATAACAAAATCAATAGTATAGCACAACGTCGAGAAAGTCGACGTTTCTGCCAACATCTCCGACGCACCCCGACATCGCGCTGATCGTGTACCATGTGGGGTATATCGATGACACGGAGTGTGCATCTGCAATGGACACGAAAAGCGGAGAACATGTGCTCGTGGAAAAGCTGAAAACGGTGAGGACGTTGGGAAAGTTCAAGCTGTTGGCAAGCCGAGTCAAGATCCTTCGTTTGCTTTTTCGTTCATTTTTTTTATTTCTTGGTTCCATTTGTTTTTGGTCGTCTCCATTCCGCAGGACACTGCACTGCCCAACCGCTGCCATAGTTGTCAAAGGGCGCCCTGATGAGGCCCTGCTCATCCTTTCACGCCCTATACTTGCTGACAGGACAGGGGTTCTCTTCCCTGTTCACGGTTGTATTTGGTTCTTTTCTGCTGATCCCCTTCCCCGTTCGCTGTCCGGTCGGCCAACCTGCCGTTATGACATTCTGACCTTGTCGTTTGACATGCCTGTTTTCTTTTTGATTTAAATAAGACGGCCCTCGGCACCTCTTCGAATATAAACATACGTCAACAGCAGCGTTTGCGCGACATCTTTCTCTACTCGTTGTTTGTAATTAAAATCATTCAGTCCAGTCCGCTCTTCCTTTTTTCGCCATCCCCCCCACCATGCGGTCCCTCGTTTCGTCTGCGGCTGTTTTGCTGGCCGGCGCCGGTATAGCCGCCGCGTACCCCAACCCCGAGGGCTGCACGGGCGACTGCTTTACTCACGACCCGGCCGTGGCCCGCCGCGACGACGGCACCTACTTCCGCTTCTCCACGCTCGACCTCATCAGCATCCGGACGGCACCCTCGCTCTCCGGTCCGTGGACCGTGGCCGGCAGCGTCGTCCAGGGCCGGTCCGTCATCAACATGGACGGCAACGACGTGCTCTGGGCGCCCGACGTGTCCTACATTCGCGGGCTCTACTACTGCCTCTATGCCGTGTCGACGTCCGGCTCGCACATCTCGGCGATTGGCTACGCCACCTCGTCGACCATGGACCCGGGCAGCTGGACCGACCAGGGCGAAATCCTGACGTCGTCGAACAGCAGCCCCTACAACGCCATCGATGCCAGTCTCGTCAACGGCACCGGCCCGGACGAGTTCTACATGACCTGGGGCTCCTACTGGGGCGACATCTACCAGGCCGCCGCGGCCGTCGACACGACCTACATATACCCGTCGGGCAACCAGAAGCAGATCGCCTACAACACGCCGAGCAACGGCAACTACGAAGAGGGCGCCTATACGTACTACCACGACGGCTTCTTCTACCTGTTTCTGTCCGTCGGCCACTGCTGCTCGTACGACCCCAAGCCGGCCGCCGGCACCGAGTACCACGTGGTCGTGTGCCGCAGCGCGAGCGTCACGGGGCCCTATGTCGACGAGAGCGGCGTGGCCTGCACGGCCGGCGGCGGCACCACGATTCTGGCCAGCCACGACGAGGTGTACGCGCCCGGCGGCCAGGGCGTCTTTCACGATCCCGTGCACGGTGACGTGTTGTACTACCACTACTGTAAGTCGTGTCTGTAACGGAAGCAGGGTACAAAAGACGCCTCCCAACCTTCTCGGCCAAAGCTAATCCCCTTCCCTCCCAGTGAACACGTCTATTGGCGTCGACTATGACCACTCCCAGTTTGGCTGGAACGTCATCCACTGGGGCGCCAACGGCTGGCCAAGTCTGTGAGGTGAGGAAGCTGACAAAAAGATAACGAGAGCAAAAGGCGTGGACGTACTGTATATAGATCGACTCTGATAGTGAAAAACACATGGCCATGCCCATAAAGAACAAACACGAAAAAGTCAACTACCTCCCCTATCCAAACGCTTCCATGCATCCCATTAAAACTGGACTGCGAGAATGTAGGCCCGTACATCATACACGCTAAAACTCTGATTGCCAAACAGCATCATGCGGCCTGTTTGCGATTCATGGTCCAGATGAGGTGGCAGATGAAGAATAGCGGCCGTCTTATATCGTAGGAACAAAGGCGATGTTCTCTTCATTCGAATATCATCGGTTATAAAACCGCCATCCCTTCTTATTAACTAGGTACGAAAGACGTTTATTCCTCGTATGAAAATAAGATACTGTTCCGTGCCTCGCGGTTCTTGTCCGTGTCGCCCCACATCCACCAGCATCTCACATCGTAAACCATTCGTGTGCCACGACATCTTCGGCGCTTAGACGCTTCTCAGGGTCGTAGCGGAACAACTTGTACAGGAGATCCGCAATCCGCTTTTGCTCTGCCTCCGATGTGATCAACGACGTCCTTGCGACGTCGTCCTGCTCCCCGCTGCCCGGTTCAACGATTTCGATAGACTTGCTGAGCGCCACTTCGAGTGACCACGCTTCCGTATCGTCTTCCCGCAGCCAGGCCGCCCGGTCGTCAAAAAAGTCCGCCCGCGCCTCCCATTGTCCCACCATCCTTGTGGCATTTTGCCAAAGAAACACACCATCTCGGACAGAAGCTCGTCCGTATCATTACCATAAATCATGTAGAAGAGCGGAATCTGCTGCCGGATCTCAAAGAGCGTACACCCGAGCGCCCAGAGGTCGCACGCCGGTCCGACGGCGCTCTCCTCGTCGAGCAGCACCTCGGGCGGGAGGTAATTTTCCGGCATGCCCATGTCCGCCGGGGGGGATGCAATGGCGTACGATTCACCAAAGTCAATAACGCAAATTTGGTCCGTCAGATACGCATCGCCTAAGCGAGAGAGGTCGGCGGCAGGCGTAAGGTATCGTGGTGAAGAAGTTGAAAGGTCGCCGCCCGACTCGGTTCGTACGTGGACCTCCTTGGGCTGGCCGAGGAGGGAGAGCAGCTCGTCCTCGGACAGCTTGTTGAGGCTGGCTAGCTTGACCAGGATGTTGGAGGTCCGGAAGTCTGAGGGAAGGTGGTGTTGTTAGTTTTAAACAGGCTTTACGCGACGGTTGAAAACTGGGACGACGGGGGCGACGGGAGAATCTTCGTACCTCCATGGCAGAGACCGTGTCTATGTAAAAACTGCATCGCTTTCGTAGTCTGTTGGGCCATATCCCGGAGAACAGGGCCGGGATCCTGTTTCATCCGTAACCAGAATTCAGGCGAAACACAAGGCCCAAGAACGGGGAGCACGAGGCATTGGTGTACTCCATTTGGTCCCTCGATGGAGAAGGCATCGAGTGGAATGGCAATGTGCTCGGCACCGGGAGCGGACCGATCGAATCGCACCAAGGTAAGATCCGGAACCGCCTCCGGCGCAATGTCTGCCACCATCACCTTCACAGCGACGTACCCGGTAGTGTCACGCGTGTCTCGGCACAGCCACACGGTGCCGAAACCGCCGTGACCGAGCTTGCAAAGGACGCGATAACGGCCGGCGACGCCGATGGTGTCACCGAGGTGAATGGGATGATAACCGCCTTCGCGGTATTCTTCCAAGGGTTCGAGGCCCTCGTTGATGCCGTCCAGATACGTGCCATGGGAAGTGGCCGGCGCATGGTCAAGAACGCCGGCGTATTCAAATGAGGCGTCGTCAGGAAGCTCCGTATCCATACCCACTTCTTCGCCAACACGGGTGAGTTTGGCAGGTTGTTGATTTGAAGAGGGGAGAGTACTGTGTGGGGGCTACCAGGCGGATGAGTTCTGGCTGGATGGTGATGCCGAAGGAGAGTGGAGTAGAGAACACTGTAGCAATAGATGACAATGAAATTTGGTTCCTCCGTTGCTATCCGGCAAGTACAAAATGTACTTCTCGGGTCTGGGTTGCCTTGGCCGGATTTGTTGGCCGCTGTGGCCGTGCTGCGCCGCCATTTGTCGCGTGGCCGCTCGCATAGGCCGCTCAAATGTGCTTTGCGCCAGGTGACTCAGGCGGCTCCTCTGTATATGAGACATTCAAGTCAACTCGGCGGCTGTCGTAACAATCCGGGCGCCTCGATCAAAGACCAAGAAAAATGTACTTGTTCAACGAATGCGTATAATACTCTCATTCATTCTACGATTTTCTTCCGTTTCTTTTCTTTTTTTTTTTTTTTGTCAATCATTATTGTTTCGCTCCCCAATTTTCGTTCTGTTATTTTCATCTCACACGTTTGACACACCCATTAAGGTACGCAGAAATGGCTCCTCTGCGGCTCTTGGTCGACCTTCGCGACAGCGACGAAGACGAGTATCCCGTCATCACGGACGAGAAACGCATCGACAAGGAGACGTCTTCCATGGACAAACCCCCTCCGTTGACAAAATCGACAACACGGACAGGGAGACGAAACAACAAAAGCGGGGATCCTGGCTTGCACGAATGGCACATTTGTGGACAAAAATACTGCGCTGGAAAGAAAACAAACAAAAAACCGGCCACTACCGCCGCCCAGCCACAATGGCCGCCGCGTCCATTCACTGACCGCACGGGCGTCACCAAACGCAAGATCGCCGCCATCCTCTGCTCGTATGTGCAGCCGGACTGCGCGCTGTCGGAGGACGTCGTGGCGAATAGCATTCTCGCGCTGATCCCGGAAGACGCAACGGCGTCGAGGGACGTGAAGAGCTTTGTTCGGATTTGCGTTGATCTTGCTGAACAAATCCCGTACCATCATCCGTCGCAGCTCAAGCTGGCCAGGCTGCTGAGGGTACTGGGAGAGTCGCCCACATTTCTGAGCCAGCATTGGCTGGGGTCGGTATGCTTACGCGGCGAAACAGGCAAAACATTCCCCCCCAGAAAAAAAAAAAAAAACTAACCTCCCTCTATGAAACAGGAAAAGGAAGAAATTGTGCTGCTGCCTCATCGCCTGCTAATGGATAGGCTTTTCGCCCCAGCAGGTACGTTTTGAAGTTACTTTCAGCCAACTGCGTATTCCGCAGATCCATCTGCATTCGACAAAACCTGAGGAAGATAACTAACCTTGTCAAGTGCTTGACGCGGCCTTTCCCGACGACTACGTCAATGCCAGTGCCTTCAGAGCCAAGCTATGCGCCATGTGTACATGGGGTGCCCCACCCGGCCCGGGGTTCGACATCTTTCGCGACCTCTTTGAGACGGACAAACAATATAGTTCCGCGTTTGTGAAGAACACCCTGGTCAAGGGAGCAGCGCAATGGGTCCTTTGGAACGGCCACGGCATGTTCAGCTACATTCTATACGACCAGGACGGCGACGGAAGGTTTGTGGCCAAGGTTGGCAATGCAGCGGGCCTGCCCCCTTTCCAAGCTCGTTCTGTGGAACGGTGGCGGTACTGGGCATCAAAGTTTGAGGAGGTCGGGACCTGGTCGGATGCCACGGACGAGTGCAAGGACTTGGCCGCACGTGCAGCGAGGATCATGCATGCCTTGGCGGAGAACATGGTATTTGCAGTTTGATGCTTGATGGAGTGGGTAGGTAACCTTCAGTATACTTTGCGAATGGGGATAGTCCTAGCTGTCTGTACGCCATGATATAACGCGTTTCCGTATTAGAATAGCAACATGTTTAGTGAATGGCCTCGAAACACTGCAGGGCAAGGCAAACTTGGTCAAACTGTCTTGCCCTTGTTGCTCTCTTTACCCTGCTTCCCCAAAACGCTTAATGCTATATGCCTCCAAAATAGGGTCGACGTCGTGTCTCACAACCGCCTTGGCCAGCAGCTCGCCGACTACCGCCGCCAACGTCACGCCCGAATGCATGACGGCCACAGCCAGACCCGGCAGAACGGCAGCATCCACAATCGGCAGTCCATCACCCGGCTGCGGTCGCTCGCCTACCGTGAAGAAGTCTAGGTCCAGCAGGGCCGCGTCCTCGGGCCGGAACAGCGTCTTGGCTTTGTCAACGAGGGCGATGGCGTCCCGGCGCTGCTCATCTGGACTCTCGTTGCCAACGTTTCCGCCCGCAAAGTCGGCACCAATCACCAAACGGCCCTCCACAGTCTGACGTACGTGCGGTCCTGCCGATAGGATGATGCCCTTGAGCAGTCGCGTCGAGATGGGTTTGGTGTGCGCCAGCAGGCCCGGCCGTGGATGGACAGGCAATTTGACGCCCACCGATGCACAGAGAGGGACGGAACCCAGACCAGCCGCTAACACGACGTGATCTGCCTTGATTTGAGTGCCGTCTTCCAAAATGAGGCCAGTGACGTGGCCAGACGACCAGAGCAACTTGGCAACGCCTTTTGTGACAACTTGGGCGCCCTTTGCCTTGGCCTGCTCCACGAATAGCTGGGCGGCCAGCGCCGGCTCGACTGTGCCCTCGTCCGGTGCCCGCACGGCCCACCCAGCGGCAGGACGTATTTCGGCCGCATCCGACAGACCGGGCTCCAGTCGGGTGATGTCCTCGTCGGTCACTTTGTCCAACGTATAGCCCCAGCGCGTGTGCTCGTCGATAAATGCAGCCAGCTCGTCGGCCGGCTTGTTCCACTGGATGGTGCCATGCCAGCGCACCAGTCCGTCGAGACCGGGCACGTCGCTGGCCAGCTTGCGCCAGACGGCCATCGACCGCCGTCGCAGCTCGTAGTACGGCCGTACATTTCCGCTGTTGGCGTTGATCCAGGCAAATGAGTTGGGTGTGGCGGTGCCGCCGATTCCGGCCGCAGGGGCGACGACCGTGACGTCGGCATGTTCGACGGCGGCCAAATGCCAGGCAATGGAGGCGCCGATGATGCCGGCGCCGACGACGACAATGTGAGGGCGGTCGGATGCCATAATGTTGTCGTGCGTTTGCATTGTTGGATGAGGAAATACGGCCAAACAAAACGAGCCACCAAGACGTAACGTCGCAAGATGATGCAACATTCTTAGAACCCCGCGGGCCGCATGCCAAGACGGGCCGGTGTCGGTCCAGCAATATAGTCTGGAACTAGATCCCATATCGGCGTCTTCGAAATTGAGTAACATCTAACCAAAAAAAAAAAAAAAAAATAGCTCTGCCTTTCCTTGGAAGCACTCCATATATTTTATTTGCTGCTGGTTCACCTTCCGTGGGAATAAATGCTCGAGGTGTGCCGACTACAGCAAACATATATAGTTGCCCAAAGGAGGTACGGAGTACGATACCAACATCATATCCACATGTCGGCCTCGAGACCCGCGGAAACGGCCCAGATAGTGAAACATTGCACCCCCGGGTCTGGCTATGTCAAGGATGCTTCCTGTGCGTTGTTTACTCTGTCACGGCCGCTACGGCACGAGAGCTTTTAGTGAGCGGACAGGTATTCATAGCAGTCAACTCCACTGAAGACCACGCTAGAGGAAACTCTGTCAGAGATGCCGCTTGAATCTCCGGTGGCTGCACATGTGTTGGCTTTCTTTCACAAAATAAAACACAAAACAACGAAGAAGAAGACAAATGAAGGTAATGTACTTAATAAGAAATTCAGGTAACACGCCCCAAATTTAAGTTGAAAAAAAAAACTCAAACAATTCCTGTTCAAAAAGATTGCCCAGACGCGGGATCGAACCGCGGACCTCCTGCTTACTAGGCAGGCGCAGCTACCACTGTGCTACCCGGGCCATTTGACGCTGCGAAATCTGTAAGCAAGCACTATATAGGCAGGCTTACTTTCTCCTCACGTGAAATAATGCTAGATTCTCCACTAACTTGGCGACGAACCGCTGAGCTTCAACCCCAGCTTCTCTCAACTCGACAATCTTCACCGGACAGTGACATTCAAGCTCAGGCTGACCCACAACGACACCCACCCTCCCAACTTGATCTGAATCCAGAATCTCTTGCGACGTCAAACCACTGCCGCCAGTTTCACCTCGTATCCCTCCACCAATTGGCCGAACGACATCCATTCCCAGCAGCCTCTCCTCGACCTTCTCAACCGTCTCTACTATCGTCACCTCGTCGAATCCAACCAGCCATGTCCGCCCCCGGCGCCACCAACGGCGGTGCCGGCGCCGACCAGTTCGGCGACCTGCTCGACCGCGAGTCCCAGCTCATCGCCCAGTACATGCAGCACGCCAGCGCCCTCGTCATGGCGGCCACGTCGCGCGTCTCCAACCGGTCCACCATTGGCGAGGCGGCCGCGAACCGTCTGCGGATCGACGCCGAGGTCGCGGGACTGCTGCGAACGGCTGAGAACTTGTGCACCCTCACACGCCGCATCCGCGAGCTGTGGATCGTGGGCGCGCTGCGGGCGTCGGGCGCGGGCGACGCCGAGGCGGAAAGCAAGATTCGGAGCGACGTGGCGCCGCTACTCGCACAGCTCGAGGGCATGCAGCAGGCGACGCGGACACGCGATTTGGGGCGATACGGGACCTACCAAACGACAGCCACGGGTGGACCGGTGCCGCAGCCGACGCAGGTACAGCAGGCACAGCAGACACAACAAGCTTCACAACAGTCACAACCACCGTCACAACCACCGTCACAGCCACCAGGCGAGGCAACAGCATCATAGTGACAACCTAGTGAGAGCCTTGCACATTACTACTACCCTAGCCTTGTACGATATCATAGCAACTGCGTAACATAATACCAAACGTTTACACCATAGTTACTTCTTCATGTACCAACGCCAGATATGCAAACATTGAAAAAAAAGCTGCCCTCCGCTTACCCCTCACCCTCGTCGGGGTTCTCGGCGTCCTCGTCAGGGTCCTCGAGAAGATCCGACGGCCCGCCAGCACCACGTGCGCCGTCCTTGCTGCCGCCCTGCCCGCCAAACCGCTCAAAGGCGGCCTTGTAGCCGCCCGGCACCGCCCACAGATAATAGCTCGTGCGGAAGTTGTCCAGCTGGTGGAAGAAGGCGTGGAACACGTTCTGCGTCTCCTCCACGTCCCAGATGCGCCCGTAGATCTGGCTGTCCTTGAACGCCCGCAGCTCCGTCTCGTACACGCCAAAGTCGAGCGGCGCCTTGCCAAAGTTGGACTGCGCGCGCGCATTGTAACTGTCAAACACCGGCCGCTCCAGCAGCAGGCCGAACCCGGGCGCGCGCGGGATGCTGATGCGCCGCGGGCCGTAGCTCAGCGCCATGGCCGGCGCCGGGTCCGTGCCGCAGCGCGACACCATGACGGCCATGGCCACCATCTTGCGGATCTGGTGCATCATGAAGCTCTGCCCGTGCACTTTGAGCGAGAGCCACTGCGTGTCGCGGATCTGGATCGGCGCCGGGTTGACCACAAACGACTTGATGTGCCGCTTGGCCGACGCGTCGCCGTGCGCTTTCTGGATCGTGTAGTTGTGGAAGTTGCGCGTGCCCTCAAACTGCGTCAGCGCCTCCTGCAGCCGCTGCAGCCGCTGCGGCGTCACGCGGTACGCGCGCTTGGCGGCCATGTACGCGGCCTTGATGTCGCGCAGCGCCTGTTCGACCGCCAGCTTGTGGCTGGGCACCGTCGTCGTGGGTTCGGCGGTCGCGTCGGTTTCGCCGTCTGTGTTGGCCGTCGTCTCCGTCACCGCCTCAGCCGTTGCCTCCGCAACAGCCTCCTCCGTCGTCTCCGTCGTCTCCGTCGTCTCCGTCGTCTCCGTCGTCTCCGTCTCCGTGGCCCCAGTGGGCCCATCCGCCTCGGCGTGCTCGACGTTTTCAATGTCATTTTGTGTGACCAACGATACGTCGTCGCCCGCGTGCAGGCGCTCCGTCACCAGCCGCCGCACCTCGGGGCTCAGTGCGTTCAGAATCGGCGCCACCACCTCGCGATCCACCGTCGGCCAAAAGTCCTTGACGTCGTCCAGCCGCTCCATCATGCCTGCAAAGACAGACTGGTCCGTCTTCTCGCCATCAACAGCATCGCCAGCTGCTGCCGTCGCCGCCTCCTCGTCGGCCTTGGTGGACCATGACACCATCTCCCGCCCCAGGAAACTCTCTGGATGCGGCGGCAGCAGCGCGTAGCTCGGCAGCAGGTACTCGTACCACCGCGAGTCGCACGCCTGGTAGCAGCTGAAGCTGTTGATCGTCCGCTGTATGCCCCACACGCGGATCTGCGCCGGCAGCGCCGCGTTGATCTTGTCCACCACGTCCGCGTCCTCGACAATCAGCTTCAGCGAAATCACGTTGCCCGCTGCGTGCACGCCCTTGTCCGTCCGCGCGCACCGCACGAGGCTCGACTTCTTGGGGTCGTCCGCGTTGGCCTTGGCAATCGCGCCCGCCGCCACAAACGCCGCAAACAGGTCGCCTTCAATCGTCTTCTCGTCGTGGTTGATCTGCATGCCGCGGTAGCCCGTGCCCGCGTAGCCAATCATGACCGCCACCTTCCGCTTCGGCCGCCGGCCCTCGGCGGCAATTTCCTCCGCCGAAAAGGGGATGCTCATGTTGGACGGCCGCGCCTCCCACATTTTTTCGTCTCCGTTTTCGCCGTTGTCTGCATTCTCCGCATTCTCCGCGTTGCGGCCGCCATGCAGGCGCCGCCGCTTGACCGGCCGGTTGTCCTTGCGCCAGGTGCCGTTGTCCTTGGGCTTGGCGCCGTGGCCGCTGTGGCCGCCGTGGCCGCCGCTGCGGTGCTTGTTGGCGCCGCGGTAGTTGTGGCTGTGTTTGGGGCCACCGCTGCCGCCTCCTTCACCGTCACCAGCCATGATTGTCCCGTAGGTGCGTCGAGGAGGCGTCGTCCGTTTGGCAAGGTTCAAACGACTTGAAGAGAGAAGCAACGTCAGGTTGGGAAGGTCGGCTCGTCGTGACAAGGGAGGTCGCGTGGTGGCCGTAGAGCAGTGCGACACGAGATGAATTGCCTTGGAAGGCAATTGGAGTCGACAAAGGGGCTGTCGCATGTCCAGACTCAAAGACAGCAGGGTGCTGGAATTGTTCGTCCCAGACGTGTCTTTGAAGCTCTCGCCGAAATACTTTTATTTTTTCGGTTAGCGCCGATACAGCTGTGAAATTTCTTAGTCATCCAATTAACAGACCTGGGTGGCAGCTTTGAAAGCGCATTTATAAAAGATTTCTCAAGAAAATTTAAAATGCAAATCATTAATTTAATTGTTGTAAATGTTGTAGTACCTTTATGAATAGTGTCGCAATGTTGTGGGAAAACTAAAATAAAATGTCCGTCATTACCAGCCAAGATTGCTTAAACCAAAATCCCACGGAGCAGAGATATTAAGAGTAAAAAAGTAATATTAAACATTTTCATGTTTAAGAATAATTCCAAAATAAAATATAACTCAATATTTGATACATGCAGAACTATTCAAACTCTCTGAATACAATGTGGTATTCCAAAATCAAGTCAAGTCATTCTGCGCTCGTTTCCTGTTCGTCGTCGTGAATCATTACATAGTTTGTCGTTCAACGTGGTTGTGTTTTAAGCTCACCAAGCCGAAGCCCAATCAGCCGGCTCCGGGTCGGCAACGTCGTCGTCGTCGTCATGTTCGTCACCATCACCGGCAGACGTCTCCGGCGGAGGAGTCGCGGGCACCTGCGCCTTCATCTTGCCCTTGCCCAGCTCGCCCGCCAGGGCATCGCCTTCGTCGGCGCTGTCGTACTCCGGTTCGAAGCTGTTCTGCGAAGACGATTTGTTCTTGGGAGGAGGGCTGCGAGCGTCCGGAGGTGCGTCCTCTGACGACAGCGACGACGTGGATGATCGTCGCTTGGACACGAACTCCTTGTATTGGGGCGACGCGGCAAGAATGGCATCCTCAATGACACCCGCCGTCCGTTCGTGGCCAAAGGCGCGGGCAATCTCGACGGGTGTCGCACCGGGGTCCTCCTTGTCGTCGTCGTCGGAGGTAGCGTCGAGAGAGACGGTTGCGTCGTGGTCGGCAGTGTTGTGGTCAGCCGTGTTGTCAACGCGGTCCTTGTGACCTTGATCCGCTGCGCCATCGACCTTGTCGTGCTTGGCATGCCCCAACGGCCGCCCTGGCGCGACCTCGCCCTCGCCCTCGCGTTCTTTGCGCTCGGCCTGTCGCTTGGCCTCGTCGTCGTCGCCCAGACACACGCGCGCGGCAATGCGGCCAATGCGTGCGGTGGGATCGGCGCCGTTGGCGAGCAGCCAGCGGACCATGTCCAGGTGCCCGCGCGAGGCGGCCGCGTGGATCGGGGCGTAGCCCGAGCGTGAGCGCGACCGTTTGGACGGCGACGCTGTCTTGGCCTTGGCCTTGTCCTTGCCCTTGTCCTTGATTTTGGCTGTGCCCTTGTCCGTCACGTCGCTGTCGTCGCCACTGTCGTCGTCGCTGTCTTGATGTCTGTCTGCGCCATCGTCGTCCGTACCTGCCTCTGATTGAAACGGGTGGACTGCATTCACTGACAGACCATGCTGTAGCAGGAGCATGGCCAGCGCGATATCGCCCACGCGGCTGGCGGTGTGCATGGCCGTCTCGCCGTACTGCGGCGTCTTGTAGCGGACATCGCCGCCTTTGCTCATGAGGAAGCGCAGCATCGACTGGTTGTTGAAGTAGACAGCCAACATGACAGGGGTGACGCCGCTGCGCAGCGGGGCATTCACCTGGGCGCCACTTTTCATCAGGTGGAAACACATGTCGGCACGGCCGGCGCGCACGGCCATGTGCAGGGCCTGGCTGTGGCGGTCGGTGGTGCGGGCGTGGACGTCGGCGCCGTGGCGCAGGAGCAGTGCGACGACCTCGAGTTCACCGTGGGCGGCAGACGCGGCCGCGTGCAGCGGTGTGCGGCCGTTGGCGGCGGCGACATTGGGGTCGGCGTTGGCGAGCAGCAGGCGGGACACGATGGCGGTGGAGTCGCTCTGGACGGCAAGATCGAGGTACGTGGTGGTCTTGTCAAACGCAGCAGTGACATGATGGATGTCGGCGCCCCGTCGCAGCAAGAGGTCGATGGCAAAGATGTTGCCCACGAGGAGGGCGGCGTACAGCGGACGCAGACGCACGATGCCATCGTCCGGGCCCGCTGTGGCCACGGCCATCTCGGCATCAACGACCTCGGGGGTCTTGCGCAAGTAGCGCCCCATGAGTGTCGAGTCGTAGCGAAAAATGGACTCAACAAAGGGGGACAAAACAAGGTCGCGGCCCGTGGCGCGGGCTCCGTACGTCAGCAGGGTGGTCACGAGCTCGCGTGGCAGGGTCGGCCGTTTGGGGTGCATGAGGGCGTAGCCGAGGGGCGTCACGCCGCGGTCGTCGCAGACATTTGGATTGGCGCCGTGGGCAAGCAGATGCAGGACAATCGACACGTGGCGCTCACGGCAGGCGATGTGCAGCGGCGTCAGGCCCTGCGCATCACGGACATCAACCTTGGCGCCGATTTCGAGAAGGACCAGGGCCGAGGCGACGCAGTCGGTGTTGCTGGCGAAATGCAGCGGCGTGTTGCCGCTTCGGTGCCGCACATTGGGGTCGGCGCCGCAGATGGCGAGCATGGACACGAGGGCGGCGTTGTCGTCGTCGACGGCGTGCGACAGCACAAAGGTGCCGTCCTCAAGCATGTCATTGAGGCTCATGTCCGACATGAGCAGCGTGACGATGGTCAAGTAGTCTTTTCGGTCAATGGCGGCAACAAGGTCTTCTTTGCCGGCGGGTGATTCCGTGCCATCTTTGGATGCCTCGATTCTTTGCTTGCTCTTGCCCTTGCCCTTGTCCTTCGTGGTGTGCTTCTCGTGATGTGGCTGCTTCTTTTTCTTGTCCTTGCCCCGGTGCCTCTTTGCCGCCTTGGCCAAGCTCACACTGCTCCAGAAGGTGAAGAACGCGGCGCGGTCACGGCGGCTGCTGCCGTCGTCGAGGAAGTAGCGCGTGTCGCTGTCGTCGAGGCGCATGCCAGTTCCGTCCTTGTAGAGGGCATCGGTGGAGATCATGTTGATACTGGAATGTGTTAGCGGCTCGTAACGGGTCGTGCGCAGAGAGGAGGCGTCCGAGGGACGAGTGTGACTTACTACTTGCACGTCGTCATATGCACTTCGATGTTTTGCTCAAACGAGCACAACTTGTGCACGGTTGCGAAGATGTAGTTGTCGTTCCAGCGCAGCGGGACGGCGTCTGGGTCCGGGAGAAAGCGGGAGCTTTGTCGCCGCACGGTCCAAACGCACGCTTCCTCAATGGTAACCAGGTAGTTGCGCAACTCGGGCATCATGTCCTCGACTCTGGGCAGCACGCGCCGGCTCCAGGCCAAAGGCGACTTGTGCGTCCGGGCCGGGTTCCGATTGACGGTAAACGAGAAAGAGGCTGCATGCTTTGTCGTCTTTTGTTTTCCCGCCTCGGCACCCTTTGTCTTTTCTTCTGTCTTGCCCTCTGTCTTGCCCCGCGACCTGTCCTTCGGCATGTCCTTCGGCGTGTTGTCGTTGTCCCCAAGATGCGGCTGGTAGATGTTGACGTCTCGGGCAACGCTCTCGACGTGTGCCACGTTCTCAAGCATGTCGCGCAACCGCTCGAGGAGTGTCTGAAGAATGACAACGTGGTTGTAGAGCAGCCGCAGGGCGACCCATGCGCTCTCGTGCTGGCGGATGACGTCGCGGATGCCGCAGTTGCTGCGTTTCAGCAAGTCGATGGCATGGTTCAGATTGAACGCCAGGGCGGAGGACATGCGGTGCTTGCGGTCCCCGCCGGTGGCACGATATGATCCGGGCACAAGCTCCGAGGGTTGCCAGATGGTGTTGGTGGCCTTGACGGGCGGCGGCGGCGTGAGAGATGCCGGCAGGCCAGCCAAGTGGGCGTTGGGATGCGCCTTTGGGCCGCTGGTGGCGACGGACGGCATTGTGGGCGGAGGGACGGGGGACAACAAGCAAGGAAAAAGGGCGCAAGTGACGGGAGAGTGAAGGTCGCGCTGTTCGAACGTCGGAAGCCCTGCCGATGTCGGGCCAGGGAGGTCGTCGGCGGTCTCAAGCTCAGACGAGACACAGGACGCGGGCAGCGTTGTCCTTATTGTCGCCCCGGTTCACTGCTGTCCGATATGGAAATCCAGAATTCCTTCCGCGGACAATGGCGGTCGGGGAAGAGGTGGTGCGAGCAAAGTTGACACGAGGAGACGCTTGGCCTAGTTTATGGCAAAGCGGAGGAACAACGGAGTCGCTGAAAAGCCAGGCAGACACCGGCCAGGCTGTGCCACGTGGTGGTTGGTGGACAGTTGGGCGAGAGGGAAAGAAAGACCTTTCATCGCAATTTCCAAGTTTGGCTTGTGCGTTGCGGCTCTGCTGCGGGTGACCAGCGACAGCGGGCAGGAGCTGGTTTTTGCGCTGCCGTGCGGAGTATGCCTTAGCAGACATGGAGTCGCCAGACGAGGAAGGATCGCCAGACAAACGGGGCGAGTTCAGCCCTCTTGCCGTCTGCTGGCGGGAACGACGTACGCTAGACAGAGCGGGGGAATGGGGCAGGCACGGTGGGCAGTTTCCTTAGTCGTTATGGGTGAATCGGGAAAGCGCAATTGTTCATCGTGCTTTATGAATGTTCTCGCGGTGATTTCTTTGCTTTAATGATCCAAGTACTTAACATCGCTCTTCATCCCTATGCTCTACACTGTCATCCGTTTTAGACGACGCTGTCCACTATTGCGACAATAAACTGCCATGCCTGGTCGGCAGGTGGCGCAGAAACCCCACATCTGCCGCCTTTGGACCCCAAAGATGGCGCAGCACATCAGTAGTCGGAAACGCATCTTCGTTTCTGTTGCCTCATATCCAATGAAGCCGTGTCAATCCTTGGATGCAGTTGGCGTCGTATATCACCACAATATACCACCCGAAAAACCTCACTGAAGATTTCCCTCTTTGGACCTGCTCCTGTGCCGTCCCTGCTCCAACCTGCTTAGTGCATGTGCTCCGAGGATTTTATGTACACGATATGTAGCATGTACAACCAATTTTATGTATTTTCAATATGATCCGTTTCTTTACATGTGTTTTGTCCGTAGTTTTGTGAATTGGTGATAAAATAGATCAGCAGTGGTCATGATCTTTGTTTACGATTGTTCGTTGTTGATCTTTTAAATTTTTAAAAAAAAAATCAGCGAACAAAATTCGTTCATCAAAATTTACAATATTTTTCCTACCGAAAGTAAATAAAGTAAACTGTGCTCTTATCCTAAAAATACATGAAAACTCATGTACAGTGGAAAATAGACCCCTCAACGTTGCCGTCAAAACTTTGGCAGGCCGTATTGTGGCGGCGTGGCCGGCACCTCGCCCGCTTTGTTGACCGCATCCGTCCGTGCACCGAGGGCCTGAAGACCCGCCGTCGACCGTTCTAGACGGTAGCCCATGGCAAAGTGCAGCGGCGTGTTGCCGTTGGCGTCGGCCTCGTTGAGAAGAGCAAGGCGGGCGGCGGCTTCGTCGTCGTCTGTGGCCTCTGTTCCATCGCCGCGCGGACAGCACCGGTCCAGCAACACGGTGAGCAGGGCCTGCATATCGGTGGCAGCGTCGACGGCGACGGCCCATTCGATGGACTCGAGCGAGTTCTTGGGCGAGAGGCGGGAGACGGACGAAAAGAGGGCAAGAATCAGGCCTTGGCCATCGTGGCGGGGGATGGTGGCATCGCCGCCGAGCTCGAGCACAGTCTGTAGCATGGGGATGGTGTCGAAGGCGGTGGCGATGTGCACCGGTGTGTGGCGCTGGCGGTAGCGTGCGTTGATGGTGGCTGCGCGGATGGTCTCGTCGGCCGTGAGGAGCCCGACCACGTCGAGGGCTGCCGCTGAGTTGTCCTCGCTACCCGGCATGTAGCCGAAGAGGTGGGTATAAGGGCCCAGGAGGGCCGCGTGAAGGGGCAGAATCACAGGGACGGCGTCCTCTGGGGTCGGTGGTTCAGGCCATGGACTGGGAACAATGGTGGCATCTGTTGAAGCGAGAAGCCGGCCGTGGTCGTTGGGCAAGAGCTCCAGGAGCGTCTTGATGCCGACGGGGTTGCGGTACAGGGCGCCAATGGCCAAAGGCGACAAGAAGGCCCATTCGTCTCGAGGTCTGCTGGGGTCATAGAGATCGTTGGAATGGGCCAAGTGCCGGACGGCCTGTGCCCGGTTTTGATACACTTCGACGCCTGCCTCGATCAGAAATTTCAAGATGGCCGGGTCCGTGTCTGGATGCCCCATGGCCAGTGCCAGAGCGTTTCCGTATCCGCCCGGACGCGGCCGAAACTCGTACAGATCGTCGTCGTCGTCGTCGTGGTTGTCGTCGTCAATCCCCTCCTCGTTTTGGAGGTCGGCCTCTACTTTCTGTTTTAGATATTCGTCATAGGCAAACCAGATTCGTTCCACAGCGTGGACGTCGGCGCCGCGCTCCATCAGGAAGCAGAGCAACGTGAGCCGGTCTTCTGTCGGGCCATGATGCTTGCTTGCCGCGGCCAAAAACGGCGTCAGACCGAGATTGTCGACTTCGTTAATGTCGGCGTCCGGCATGCCGTCCAGCAGCAGTTTCAGCGTGTCCAAGCGGCCCATGGCGCACGCGGTCGTCAGCGGCGTGCCCCAGGACCCGCGGTCGTCCCAGTCGTCATACCCGGACTGTGTTTGGAGATGGGGCGGGACGCTGGCCCTGTGCTTCAGCAAGGCCGCGACAAGGTCGTTGTGGCCCAGCCTGACGGCCAGCACCAAGGGCGGGTCCATCCTATCGGCCGGGCACTCGAGCGTCAGCAGGCCCGGCTCGACGCGGATGAACTCGAGCATCGCCGGCAGGTCGTTGGCCTCGACCACGGCACGCAAGTGCTCGAGAAAGCAGAAACTGAACATGTATTGATGTTCCGCATATCGCTCTTTCGACGAGAGGGCCGGGCACATGGCCTGCAGTCTTGTGAATGCCTCTGGGTCGGGCGTCCTGTTCGTCGCCGAGTAGCGAATGGCGCGGAGGGCTGCATGGAGGGCCGCGTCGCCATCGGCGCTGGTGCTGACGCCGTGTTGTTCCTGCGTGGCCATTTTGCTGGGGAGTAGAAGTAAGCGACGGCCCAGTGTATGATGGGAAGCCGCCCAGTTGCGGTTTTGTATCCCGACGGAAGGTGCAGATGCGTTCCTTCCTGCAACGTTCAAACACCTGCCAGTTTTGCCCGTAAAATTAAGGAGCACAATGAGGCCAACCAAGACACGTGCTCGAAACGTTGTGGAATTTGCAACAGTAAGGAGGGAAGGATGGGCTCTGAGACGGGGGATTCAATTTCTTTTAAATTAATGGAAAGTGTTATTGTCCGTGCTAAAATACAATAAAATACAAAAAAAGACGCTTTGTCCGTGTATGATTTGAATTTCGTCCATCCAGTCTCCTCGCATTTCGGTGATGCGAGCAACAGCCAACGGTCTCCATCACGTGACAGGAGTTCCTTTTTGAGAACACATCGCGTTCGTCCCCCAAAACAAAGCATTTGCTCCTTCAATCTCTCCATCCATCAATCAATCACTGCATTTAATCCACACGTCTTTTTAACAATGAACTCATCAGAAGCGACCCATTCAGGGTCTCTACGAGTCTTGTGTGATATCCCCTCGATTCCGCGACACCCGACGACTGCGCACGTGAAGTCCAACCCCTGACCTGTTTGTTTACCATTGTACCCCTTTTGTGCTTTTACCTCTTTTCAACATCTTTCCGCCAAGCAAACGCGTTTGTTAATTCGCCGCCACTAACATACACCACAGCCTGTCCAACGAACACAGAACTCCTGAAAGCCTCATTACTTTGCCTTCGTCGTTGTCGTCGGTGGTGTTGTTGTTGTCGACGTTTTTGTTGTCGCCGTCGCCGTCGTCGCTGCTGTCGTTCGCGCGTAATAATTTTAAGTTTTACACGGAGTCGCGCGGCGTATTTAAAAACGTCGGTACTGTGTTTAAGGTTTTTTACCCCGTCGTACGTACGAACCCCGCCACCGATGAAAAGAACGTGTTTGCCGTTGGTCACTACGTTAAACGTATCCACGACCTGTCCGACACCGAGAGTCAAACCTTTCTCGAGTGGTTCAACCAACTCGTCGTCTACAACCACGACCTATAGGTACGTCTACGTTAACAGGACGTTAACGACCTGGCCGTCTGGGACAACCGCAGCGTCTACCACGCCGCCACGCCCGACTACATTTACGAGGAGGGCCTGGGCGAACGCTCCGGCAGCCGCGCCGTCAGCCTCGGCGAGAAGCCCTATATTGACCCTAGAGCACCAGCCAGCGGGAGGCCTAGCGCGCGGCGCGGAAGTGAGAAGGTATTGTCTGATGTGTTTGTTTGTGCGCTGCTCGATACGAATACTCATGAATATAATTTTGCATTGGAATTACCGAGAATATATTGTACATGAGCTTGGTCAAGTATTAAACTCCTGTGAATGGTTTAATGTTAATGGCTTACCCTCTCAAACCACGTTGCCGTCTGTCTTCCGATTACTCCAAACTTCGTGAGCGTTTGTTCCGCCGCGTCGTTGTCGGCGGTGTGCCTTGCGTAGGAACTCCGCCGGCGTCGTTCCGTGCATCTGGACGCGCACCGAGCGCAAGCAGCGCCGCCTGTGCGTGTGGCAGATCATACCCCATGGCCCAGTGCAGCGCTGTGTTGCCGTCGGCGTCTGCCTCGTTGATGCGTGCGAGTCGTATCGCCTCGTCCTTTGCATCGCCCGTGTCTAGCCAAAGCAAGTCGCGAAGTAGACTCGTCATGCCAGCGGTTCCGATGCTTGTGTCGATGGCAATCACCTCGGGGTGGTACAACCGACGCTGCATCCGGTCGCAGTGCCAGTTGCAGCCCCCCGTTTTCGAGCACAGCCGCAGCAGCGAGGCAAACACAGAAAAGAACACACTGCGGCCGGTGTGGGGAACGGGCGGGCGCGGGTCGGCGCCGGCGTCGAGCAGCACACGCAACATCGGCAGACGGTCGAAGCGCGCGCCCAGCTGCAGCGGCGTGTACTGCATCCCGTCGTGCGGGTGCGTGGCATTGATTGTGGCCGCCCGGACAGCGGCGTCGGCCGTCAGCAGTTGCACCGTGGCCACGCAGTCGTCGAGGTAGGCCTTGCGCGCCGCCTCGCTGGTGATGTTGTAATCGAACGTGACCCGTAGCGTGTCCGGATCCACGGCGTGCTCCAGTGGCTCGTCGGACGCGCCTGAGAGCCGATCGCGTGTGCGGATCTCGTTTCGGCCGTCGACCCCGTACGCCTCGTCCAGCAATACGGTCTTGCGATACAACTCGGGCTCTCGAAAGTGGGGGACTCGGACACGCTCATCCACGCGGCCGCATGGCGGTCGTCTCTGCCAGAACAGCGGCGGTCTTTGGATCCAGGGCGCCAAGATTGGCTGGGATACAAGGGGCGACAAGGTCCGAGTAGAAATCAGCACCGGGGGTCTCAAGCAGTGCTGCAACACCAGCGGCGTTGCGGCACAGCGCCGCAGCTGCCAACGGAGTCAGGTAGGTATCGGGGCCCTGGCCCGGCCCGTAGACGCGTTTCTCCTCGGCACGGATGGTGTCAATGCTGGCGCAGTTAATAGCAAAGGCCGCCTCGCGGCCCACGTCGAGGACGGACGGTGTTTTTCTCCTCTCTGCATCAATAAAAAGTTTCGTTTCCTCGTCGTCAACATCGTCGGCGACGCCGTTGTCGCCCCGGCCGTCAAAAGTCGCTGTAGGAGAAAAATAGCCCTCGTGCACATCGAGGCCGCCGTCGTCGATCAGCATGCGTGTCAGCCTGATGTCGCCGCCCATTGGCCGGACGAGTGCCTGGATCAACACGTTGCCAATGCGGCGCGGCCGGTCGACCAGCACCCGCAAGTCGGGAAAGCCGTTCTCGGTCCATGTGCTTTGGCATGCATCGAACGCCTCCTTTGCGGTCTGCCCTATGCGTGCAAAGCCCTTGTCCGGGGCCTCTTTCTTGGCACTGTGGGCCAGCAACAGTCGTACAATCTCGACGCGGCGTTCAGACTCCTTATCCATGGCTACTGCCTCTGCCGGACTCACGCCGTATCTGTCTCTGTCGGCACGCGGTATCGTCCGCCGCGCATGCCGGGCCACGGTCTGCAGCGGCGTGTATCCGTAGTTGTCGCAGGCATTGATATCGACCTCGGGCATCCTAGCCAGCAGCAGCCGCACCACATCCACATGCGCATTCAAGCAAGCGGCGGTCAGGGGCGTGCCCCAGACGGTCCCGGTGTTTGCGTCGTACTTCTCTTCCAAGTCGTAATTCTTCTTGACGTCCTTGCGCTGTTCATACGTCGATGCGTCGAGGGAGTCGAGCAGCACCTCGAGGATCCGTACGCGGCCCTGCCTGGCTGCGTTAACCATTGCTGGGGAGCCGCCGCCTCGAATGTCGTCGTGCCAGCAGAACAGTTCGGGCCCCACGAGCCGAAGCATTTCACGCATCGCCAACACGTCGTCGAGGCTGATGATGTGTTCCAAAACGCCCACTTCCTCCATCAGGTCTTGTATATTGTCCCAGGTCCAGGAGCCGTCGGGCTTGACGTACGGCGGTCCGCAGAGGATTGGAAACTGGTCCGGCCGCACCGGGACCTTGGGGTCGTATTTGCCCGTATTGCTAAATAATTCGGCGGGGCGAGCCGCGGCTGTGTGAAACTGGTGGACGGTGTGTGATATGAGGGACTGTGGCGCGCGAATTGAGGACAGGCGAAATCTCGAGACGTGCACCGGACGGGATACGAAAGCATCACGGGCCTTTAGTGCCGTTGATGCCCTGGAAAATGGGCGAGTAACGTTATACCACATGCTGCATCGATGGCTGAACCAGAATTGTCTGGAGTGATGCTGCGTAAAGAAGAGGGAGGAGAAAAGGCTCGGAAAGAATGGACGGTCGGTCCCTTTTTGTGCCTGCTGACAGTGGAGAAGCCAAGACCTGCTTTAATAGGTATCGGCCGTTAAAATACGTCCCAATGGCCGTTGTAAAGACATTACTACATCGTTATCAAAACAATTGTCGACAACGAACCCAAGGGAGTTACGCATTTCCATTTCCAAAACCGAGCTAGCAATAAGCACCTATGCTAATCTGACAGGTCGGTCCGAACAAAGACAGGCATCGACTCCAGCGGACAGGCCACCGTCACAGTTTGGCCGCCTCCCAAAGCCTCCGCTTCCGTGGCCATGGGCTTCCACTGCGCGCCCTCCGGCAGAGGCGGCAGGTAGACGGTCATCTCGCGCTGGCCGGGCTCGAGCACGGGGCAGCACAGGTACTTGTTGCCGTACATGTACTGCTCGCCGCGCTCCCAGCATGTCTTGTCGTGGGGGAACACGTAGAACAGCGGCCGCATCACGGGGCTGCCCTTTTCGTGCGCCTCGCGCATGAGCGTCCTCGTGTAGTCGCGGAGGTCTTCGCGGATCTGCAGGTACGTCTTGCAGATTTCGTAGACGGCCGGCCCGTACGACCAGACCTCGTTGGGGGCGCCGCTGCGGCACGCGGCGCCACCGGTCGTGCCGTGCTGTGGCTGCTGCGGCTCGCGGTCGCCGTGGAGGCGCATGACGGGGCAGAAGGCGCCCCACTGGAACCAGCGCACAAAGAGCTCGCGGAACGCGTCGTCGCTGGGGTCGCCGCCGTGGAAGCCGCCAATGTCCGTCGTCCACCACGGCAGGCCGGCGAGGCCCATGTTGAGGCCGGCGGCCAGCTGGCTGCGCAGGCTCGACCACGACGAGGCGATGTCGCCGCTCCAGACGAGCGCGCCGTAGCGCTGGCTGCCGGCCCACGCGCAGCGCACGAGGTTGACAATGTTCTGCTGGCCCTGGTCGCGCATGCCCTCGTAAAAGGCGCGCGAGTACTCGCGCGGGTAGAGGTTGCCGATGCTGAGATTGGACCCCTGGAAGTAGCGGTAGTTGTCAAAGTCGTACGCCGTGTACTCGGGCTCGGCCTCGTCGAGCCAGAACACCTTGATGCCCTTGGCGTGGTAGTTTTGCCGCGCCTTGTCCCAGACGTAGCGGCGCGCCCCCGGGTTCGTCGCGTCAAAGTGCACCGTGTCCCCCTGGAAGTCGAGCGCCGTGCGCACGCCCCGGTCGACGCGGATCAGGTAGCCGCGCTCGCGCATCTCTTCGTAGTTCTCCGACAGCTTGTCCACGGTCGGCCAGATGGACACCATCAGCTCGATCTTGAGGCTCTGGAGTTCCTGGACCATGGCGTCTGCGCATGACAGTCAGCGGTTTGCAGGCAGCGGTTTGCATGTAGCAGAGGGAAAGGGGATCGGGAGGCAAGACGCACCGGGATCCGGCCAGTAGACCGGGTCAAACTTCCACTCGCCCTGCTTCGGCCAGTGGAAAAAGTCAATGACAATCAGGTCGATGGGCAGGCCGCGGCGCCGGTACTCGCGCGCCACGCCGAGCAGCTCCTCCTGGGTCTGGTACCGCAGCTTGCACTGCCAGAAGCCGAGGCCGTATTCCGGCATCATCGGCACTTTGCCCGTGGCCTCGGCGTACGCCTCTTCAAGCTCGGCCGGCGTGTCTCCGACGACGACCCAGTAGTCCAAGCTGCGCGTCGACAGCGCCTCGAAGCTCATAATGTTCTTGCCGAGCACCGCGCGGCCGATCGACGGGTTGTTCCACAGGAGGCCGTAGCCCAGGGACGACAGCGCAAACGGCACGCTGGCCTGCGAGTTGCGGTGCGCGAGCTCGAGGTCGTGGCCCTTGAGGTCCAAGTGCGGCTGCTGGTACTGGCCCATGCCAAAGACCTTCTCGTGCGGATCGAGGCTCTCGAAGCGCGCCGTCAGGTGGTAGTGGTCGCCGCCCAGGATCGGCTTGAACTCGCGGCCCTCCACTTCGATGGCGCTGCACTTGGGGTCGCGGACGTCGCGGCGGTTGCGCACATACTCTTCCAGCACCAGCTTGCCCTCGGCGTTCCACACGGTCAGCTTGCCTCGCTTCGTCACGACCACCTTGATCTTGCCGTTGGTCAGGGAGGCCCCGTCGTCGTCCGAGACGGAGATCTGCGGCTGGTGCAGGAGCGGCGGCGGCGCCAGGAGCGCCCAATCGTCAGTCGGCATCGTCGCCGTCTTGGTGGCGCGCACGCGAACCGCGTTGGGCCCCCAGGGCTCGACCCAGACCGTTTCCCCATCGTACTCGTACACGAGTCGATTTTCTTGTTGAGATAACATAGTGGCCGTGCGACGTCCGATGGTTCTTGTGTAGAGAGACTCTGTGGACAAAAGTTACCTCGTCCAGATGTACGTTGACCGTGCTATGTCGCCCGCCGTACACATTTATACTACTTTGCGACTCTGCGGCTCCGATGTTTCGCGGCATTTGCGGCCTTGGAAATAACACGACAGAGTCGGTCGTCGACATTTAACCGGGCGGGGGATCTGCTGACACCGATATCCGGTCTCGGCCTAGACCCGCACGTCTTACGACAGATTGGCAATGAGGAGAAGGCCGCTAGCCGGGGACCTGACACAACGAAACTATTAGTATTATACCACAATATGTAACCAGTGTCTAGGAGCACTCCAGCTCCGCCGGTAGAGCTTGATAAAAAACGCGGAACATCCGGAGTGCGTCCGGAAATCACTTGCGTCCGACTGGAGCTTAGAATGGTGGGGTCCGGGGAAGCCGCCGGTTCCGCATGGCTATAAACGCGCTGCTCCGGTAATATTTTGTTATATTTCTTTTCCCCGCTTCATATAGCTGAGCTTGCGCGCCAAACATTTTGCAAGACGAGAGTGTTATACGCGTCTTCATTTTACCCGGTTTGACTCACTGCCCGATGCGTGTGTCTGTACTGTGCAACGATGTTTTCCACTTTCCGTTGCACGACCATATCTCTTTCATCCGATTATTTCAACTTCATTGCGTCTCCTGCTAAATACCTGCGCTTCGACGCAGTGAGGCCATTCCATAGCATTTACATCATGACATCATATGACAGATTCCTATACTGCCGCCAGGGTTCTATCGTTCTGGGCTTGCCCGGAAGTTGGCCGGGCTTCGGCCCAGTCCTATGTATGGCAGGCTGCTGGCGGTGGATGCCCCGTCCGAGGGCGGGCTGTTGGCTGGCGAACCGGTGACAATCAACCGGTCTCGGTACATAAACATCGATGGGAACCGGAAGGGCGTCTCGACACACAAGAGCGCGTACCGCAGGCCCAGGACATTGCCCATATACTTGAAGCGGCCGGCCATATAGAGGCGCTGGGTCGGCGTGGCACAGTCGTGTGTGTAGGCACCGGCCAGCGGCCAGATGAGCAGGTAGGCCGCCAGGACTTTGGGCATGCCATGGCCGTGGTCGTCACCGCAGGCAAAGCCAGACGTGGCCGCCGAAGCCGAGGTCGGGCCAAGCTGCGGAACCGTCCCTTGCCGCGAATTCGATATTGGTGGCATGGACGGCACCGATCCCAAAAAGTAAGGCACGGCGGCGACAACATCGTCCACGAGACCTTTGCATCGACGTGTCTCCTCGATGCACTCGGGCAGCGTGCGGTAATCGGTACCGGGCGGACACGTGAGGGCGAGACAGCGCACAATGGAACACGACATGACAAGACGGCACGAGCGGATGCCGACCCAGACTGTGGCCATGCTAATGTCCGGGTACATGTCAACGCGGCCGGGATACGCCTCGGCATTCTCGTAGTCTCCGTCCGGTACGTCGCCGGCCAGGGCGCGGGTATAGGGCTTGCACTCGTGGGGTAAGGAGGCGAGGAACGCGGCCATCTCGCTGTCGATGGCCCTGACGCGCAGCATGTACATGCTGAGTTCCTTGTGGGAAATGGCCTGTTGGCCCGCGGACGCTTTGACGTAGCGGTCCAGCTCGCGGCGAATCTGGGCCGTTTCCATGAGGAAGCGCTGGGAGCGGAGCGTGGCCGAGTCGAGAATGTTCTCGCCAGACCACCAGTTGATGTTCCACGTCGGGGGCGAATCGGCCGTCATCGTATGGTAGATCTGAGGGAACGGTAGGTCAGTAGCAGTCAAGCCAGTCTCGATGCCTCACGTCAGAGTGAGAGCGACATACTAGTTGCATGCGGACCGAATTGAAGAGCAGCTTCTCAACACGCGTGCGGATCCTGCCCGGGCCCCGACTCTGTACAATTTGCACAGCGCCTTCAATATGCGAGCGCCACGCAAACATTTCCTTCTTTGCCGTGATGCTCTACTTCGTTAGTACTGGTATTGTGCGGCGTAGTAGCTCCAATGGATACGCACCTCGAAAAGCCCCATCAGGAGCACCGTCGCCAATGTCGCGTCCGTCGTCCTGAGCCGTGGGTTTTTCAGGTTCTGAGTCGTCTTCGCCAGAGCCGCCGTATACTGACTGATGCCTATGGCGTGAAAGTCAACCGTATCGCTGACCCAGCGATTGCCCAGCGCTGAAAATGCGCACGCACGCAGTGCATACTGGACAGAACTATCTGGGGGCTGCCCTTGGAGGACGGGCACGATAAATTCAAAGAAGCTGCCGCCAAAGGGCCGCCGCGGGATGAGCACAAAGTTGGACGCAAAGTAGCACATGGCCAGGTCACCGATGGGCAGGCTGAGCGTCGACGCCGGCCGTTGCCATTCGTTGTCCTGGTTATACCGGGCCTGTTCGTCGCCCTTCTTTTCTCCGGATACAGAATCTTGCCCTTGACTGGGGCCCGTAGGATAGAATGGCGGTACGCCGGAGTAGATGGCAGAACTGCCCGCGTTGTCCTCGGGTGCGTAAATGTTCGCGTAATGGGTAGACGCGCTCCCAGGCTGGCCGCGCCAAAAGTAGCGCGGTACGTAGTTGATCGTGAGTGCACCGGCCGATTGGGCGACACTAAGAGGTACTTCGCTGCCGGCGACATATGCTGTGATCTTCATTCCATCGGCTGATTGCAAAAATGGCATGTGGTCGTCGCGCCCAGAGATGGTTTTCAAGTCGAGCCTGTCGTCAATACGGATGACGACATCGCCTGGGCTGGCATCGTGTCGGACGAAAACCGAATCAGGGCCCGGTGTTGAAGAGGAGGATATGGGATGCATGGCCGTAGACGTGGCAAGGTTTGATGCCGTTGCCGCTGACGTATTTTGTGCATCTCGCCGCTGTGTCCGTCGACTATCGTCACGGTGCTTCCGATCCACATTGGTCGAGTAGAAACATTCTCGGCCGCCACGAAGACAGTTTTGGCATATCGGATACTCTCCATCACACTATACATGGTGAGTGCGAGAATAGAGACACAGCCCACCAGGTGGTGACCGCCATGGTCGTGTGCAGGGACAGCAACATACCTTGAGACGGCGTGTTTTGCAGGTGCTGCACGCCCGCGCGTGGGGTCGTTCCTGAGACATGGATGGCTGGCGAGACGAGGTAGACTGGATGCGGTCACTTTATACCGAATCTAAGATGAGAGGAGTCGAATGGCGATGCTATCGTCGTACGCGATAGATCAGCTCACAGAATAGGAGTGACTGACCATACCTCATCGAACCCTTACTTCACACAGCCGTGACAATTGCGGCGCCTCCTTGGAACCGTAGCCGTATCACTGTGTCGGATTCTGGAATCAAGCGAGCGGCGTCCCTAAAGCTCCAGTGTCTGTGTCGTCGAATGGGCCAGTCTATGAGAAGAGTTTGGCTTGGTTTACCAGTCGCTGCTGGAATGTTACGTTTCGATTTCTGGATGGAGGGCCAATAGTTGTCTATACCGGAGAGAAAATAAGGTTTTGTTTTCACATAGGAGGGTGTCTGCGGTGGGTAGCGGTTCTTTGGAGTGCCGAGGAAAGAGAGAGAATGGGCGTCCGAAAGATGCGCCGTTGCAGAAATTTGGTGAAAAGCTGCGATGCAGCTCGTTTTGGCCGTGTCGGTGTCTGTGTCCACTTTGGGTCGTGTCAGAACTCAGATTTTGCGGTATGGTCGCCCCTGGCTCTTTCCTCCATTGCTGCCAGTGCACGTTTGCCTTCCTTCTCCGGCTCTTGGTTCCTGCCCTCAGACTCTCCGCATTTGCACACCGCATGGAGGCTCCTTTCGGTCCAGTCGCGCTTTCCTGACAGCTTGTTCAACTTTAGCAATCACGACGGGTGCGGCAGACTCCAAAAGAGGCAGGTGCCGCATTGCGACAACCCCTCTTCGAAGCGTTTGAAGCTCCCCTGAGATGAATATTTTCCTTTCCTCACAATTCTCTGGCCTCGTCCACGTCAATGTTCTGGTCAACATTCCGACTTTCCTGGAGAAAGGTGACAAGCGGCCCCACCCAGAAAACCGTTTGACTTTCTGCAATGATCCCCGCCCATGCCAATCATCCATGGCGTGTGTTGGCGTGTGCTTGACTCCACAGCCGTTGGTTCAATCATACCACAAGGGCCTACAAGAGTGGAAGAACAGATACTGGACAAAATTAGAGCTGTGCAAACGCCCTCAATGCAACACCGGATCACGAAAGCAGCAGGGGAGCCCGCCGTTGGCCGGGCCCGCATTCATTCCCTCGGAGACCAGGTGCTGGCTCCTCACCTGACCCAGCATGACGAACCGCTGGCGGTTCATCGCGACGTTCCTTCTGGGCCCGCTTGCCGGTGACCGCTGAGCTTTTTCGTCCTCCCGCCGAGGAGAGTGGAGGGGCGGACAGAGGGTCGTGGACGTTGTCAAAGCCGAGGCCACAGCCAGAACGACGGAGGACAGATTTCTTCTCAGGCAATACGACAGGCATCGCAACGGACTCCCATCAAGCAAAGAGAGCAGGATACCGGACGAGAAACGCTGGACGGCACAGAGTTTCGTTTTTCGTCTTGACCGCTCATAATATCCCAAGTGGCCCTCTCTGGCGCGACAGGCTCACCCGCCGCTAGGGCCTCCATGGTGCATAAAGTCGCCGAAGATAAGACGCCAAAATGTCAACCGTTCTCGGCCACTAAACTAAATCCTGCCATGGTGTCTGGCCGATTGGGTTTGGCTGGTGGCCTGTCCTCTGCACGACGGGATCGACATCGACAGCGCTGGTTTGGGGCGAGCGTTCAATTGGAGGATTACCCATTTTTTTGACTCCAGTTGACTGTCAGATATATGCACCATGTGCACCGAGAACGAAGCCATTTCCAGAATTTCCGATCCCGAGCTTCTCTGAGCGTTTGATATGGCAGAGAAAAATGACTAACAAGAACAAGCAGAAACTTATCACGCTCGAGAGTTGCCGCCTAAACTCATCAGCGGCCACAAATAATGTGCATTCTTATGCCGAGACAACACAATTGATGAAGCCAGCATGACGCCGCGACATTTTAATTAATTCTCGAACCGGCCAGCTGTCGACTTCAAGTGGCCAGAGAACAATTCTCCCTGTGTACGATAGGTGTCGTCACGAGCGAGAAATCAGACAACATGTATCGACATCGCGTTTCCTGAAAACGTTTGTAAGAAGCGCAATGAGAGAAACGCGATATAGGAGCACCTGGCCATTCCAGTTTACACAAGATGAAGGCATCAGCGATTGCACTTACACTAGCGGTGTTGTCTAACAGCCACGTTCAGGCGGCCTCTCTATCGTCTTCAACAACCACACCACAATCGCAACCGACATGGAAAGGCGCGACAACATACCCCACGACGGTCACACGCATTTGGTCACGGACATTGACGGTAAAGGCCGGTGAGACTGCGTCAAGCACAGCCCCAGCGGACACCGTCACCGTCCAGACTGTCACCATGTATGAGCCGTGGCCGTCGAGTCCCAACCCAGAATACTTTCCCTACACGCTGATGCAGACCGCCATTACGAGCCGTCATCTGTACTCGGCACACGTTGACGACAAAGGACGCGTAGCACCGACAGGTGCACCATGGACGGCGACGACCGTGACACCACGCACCGTCACATCCACGTGGGTGCTGTGGAACACGTCGCCGACGGACCTTGCGGTCGGCGAAGCGCTTACGCCGTGCGACCGGTCCAACGGGCACAACGACCAAAAGTGCGCGACGCCCAACCTCAAGCAGGACACGCGGTGCCTCGAGCACGGCCTGACGACGGCGTGCCACAGCCAGTGCAAGATCCGGCGGGTGGAAGGCTGGGACCTGTGGTGGTGCCACAAGCGGGGCGACGGAACGAGCAAGGCGGCCGGCAACGACACGCGCGAGGTGGCCATCGGGCGGGTGTGTACGGACAGCATGGGCTACTACGAGCAGCTGCTGGAGCCGTGCGACACAATGGACCACGGGCACGACTGCCAGCCATGCAATGGTTAGGGTGAGAGAAACGAGGCAGTGCAGGTGTACAGATGTGCAGGTGCAGGTGCAGGTGTGCAGGTATTGCAAAACGATTTTAATTTTATATGGATATGTTGATGAGACAGCAGACGAATCCAATGCAGCCTACTACCCAGTCTCACCGCCTAGTTCAACCAAGCATACAACAGACAAGATGACATCTCACGTTTTTACCGCCGCGGGTAGCGTCGCTCCCTTTGCCTTGGACCCGACCTGGATGACAATTTTGCCGCGCGCGCGCTTGGTCATGAGCTTCTCGTATGCGCCGACCACGTCCGTCATGGGCCACACCGAGTCAATGGGCATCTGCGCGATGATGCCGTCCTCGACCATGCGGGCCACCTGCCGCGCCAGGTCGCCCGACGGAAACAGGCCCAGCATCCGGTACGCGCGCGGCGTGCCGCCCAGGGCGGCGGGCAGCAGCCGGTTGCGCACGACGGTCGGCACGCCCACGGCCCCGGCGACGATGCACAGCAGGGCGCCCGTCTTGGGCCGCAGGTACGCGGGGCTCTGCAGGTAGAGGGCCTGGTCGCCGACGCAGTCGTAGATGAGGTCAAACTGGGCGTCGGCGCTGCCAAACTCGGCGGCCAAAAAGGCCGGCAGCGACACGTGCTGGGTGTAGTCGACGGTGGCGTCGGCGCCGAGGCCGCGCACAAAGGCGGTGTTGCGGCCCGAGCAGACGGCGGTGACGTGCGCGGGGACGTGCGCGGGGCCGCGCGACGACGGGGCCTGGGCCTTGGCCTTGTGGATCTGGATCAGCAGCGAGCCGACGCCGCCGCTGGCGCCGTTGATGAGCACGCGCGGCGGGCGGCCGGCGGCGGCGGCGGCGGCGACGGCTGCGCGCGCCAGGCTGTCGGTGGCGCAGAGGCAGGCCGTCTGGCCCGCGCAGCCCAGCAGGCCCACGGCCGCCGCGCTGCTGCTGTCGCTGTCGGGGCCTTTGAGCGACGCGGGCTGGCGCGCGACCATGGAGGCGGGCACGGTAAGGTACTCGGTGAGCCCACCGTGGCCCGTCGCGACATAGGGTACGGTGAGACAGCCGGCGACGCGGGCGCCCACGGCCAGGGGGGGCTGGCCGGCGCGCACATGGCAGCGGACCTTGCTTGCTGCCGGGCCCATGGCGACAATGGTGCCGGCAAAGTCAATGGCCGGCGTGGGCTGGCGGCGGAACGGCACCCAGCTGGGGATGTTCATCATAAAGGCCAGGTCGGCCGGGTTGAGGCCGGCGTGGGAGACGCGGATGAGAATGTCGCTGCCCTTGGGGCGGGGTAGCGTGTCCTCGTCCGTCACGGTGCCGTCGTCCTTGAAGGACAGTGCCTCGCTGGGCTTGTCGGAGTTCTTGACGACGACCCAGGACTTCATCCTGACGGCAGACGTGGTGTTGCGATGCCGGACGGCGAGGGGCGAGCAGAGGTAGAGATACGCCACGAGGAGGGCGATGGCGGTCGTCACGAAGCCAACGACAGCCGCGTTGGACATGGGGAGGAAGGGCATGAGAGGCGTGGGTTGGGAGAGGTGGTGAAAATTGTGGCCTGAGCAGAATGAGGTTCAATTGACGATGACGATTGGGGCGATCTGGTCTCGAGAGACAAAAAAATAAGGTGATGCGCTCAGATTGATGGACGGGTCAGGCCGATCGGCAAGGGCCAAAAGCAACAATGGCTGGCCCCACAAGCATAAAACACAGTCGCAAGGCTGGTCGGTGCGCGTTGGGAAAATATGCAAGAAAGTCTGCGTGTTTCGAGGGGTCTCGGGGGACCAGGGGGGCTATTTGTACAGAGTACGTTGTACGGCAAACGACGCATGAGACTCGTCCAGCTTGTGGCAAAGAGCTCGATGCCAGTCGATCTGGCGCTGCGTCACTGTGTCGCTGAGTCGGTAACCCCATCCGCCCGTTGAGCTTGTGTCTGTTGGACGGCGATGGAACGGCCAAAACGCAGTGGCATTACGTCAACACGTCGTTCAGCGCATTGGGACTGCTCAAAAGTCGGGACGGCGCCATGCAATGAACCGTCGCCGCACCACGGACGAAATTTAGGCCACCGGGCGTCTGCCTGTGGAAACATGCCGAAGGCATGTGCATGTGGCCGACTTTGTAAAAATAAATGTGGATTGATTACTGGCAATGAATATGCAAAGTGCCAGCGCACGAAAAATTGAACAGACTATGAAATGTGGAAATGTGGACATTGGGAGCCCACATGTGCCTCCTGTGCCCACCAACAGCCGTCTGCGGCTCCAATATCCATGCCGTCCACGGCCCCCAAAGCAACCATTGTTCGACAGCAAACATCCATCACCATCCATCGACGCCATCCGATTAAAAACCACAATGAAATTAATATCAAAGACACGTCCCGCCAGAGGTCGTCGAGTTCCTGGAGACATGTCGCGTTTCCGAGAACAGATTGGCAGTGGCGACAGATCAACTGGCAGAATAGCGCTATCCAGGAAGCCGTGACACAAACCAGGATTCCTGTTGACAGGCCAGTTGCTGGTGCTCGTGACGGACATGGAATGCGATGGAGAAACAGAGATTGATATGTTCACGGCGAGTCTCGCCGATGCCGATGTATCAAAGTTGATGTATATTGACGTCGATAATGATGTCGATGCGGATGTTGATGCGGATGTTGATGTTGTCGATGGCGATGTTGTCGATGGCGATTTGTCGATGGTGATATCGTCTCCCCTTCACCTCCATCGTTCACTTCCCCTCGTCGGCCCCGTCGCCCTTGTCGTCCTTCTCGATGAAGCTCTTCCCTCTCAGTCGAAAGTCTTTCGTTATTCTTTTCGTGTCCTTCCTTTTGAGCCGGCTGTCCTTCTTCCTCCTCCTCCGCCGCTACTCTCCCACCCGCCCATCCTAGTGACTGCTGATGGCCAAAATGACCAGCACGGCCGGCCAGGCCAAGGCTAATATGAGTGCCCCCAGCACAGAAAAGAAACCTGTCGGGTTGTCGTCGCGCGGGCCCCGCCACCGGTCGATGATCTTGACGGTGGTGAAGATCATGCCGATGACATAAAAGGTGCCGGCCCAGCAGATGGCCAGGAAGAGTTCGGAGAAGGCGTCCTCCTTGCTGATGACGTCCAGTGACTCGTCGGGGAACTCGGTGGAGAATGCTTGACCCATGGCGGCGGTGCAGTGTGTTGTGTAGAAGCGTGGTTGGTGAGGGTATCTGTTGCGAAACAATCGATGTCGTGATGTAGTAGACAGTAGACAGACGACGAAAACAAAAAGAAGAAACTAAAAGAATACGAAAAGAGGATGTCGAAGAAGAGAAGAGAGTCAAAGAAAAGAGAGTCAAAGAGAAGTGAGTCGAAGAGAAGAGAGTCAAAAAGAGAAGAAAACGAAAAGAACGTAGAAAGTATTGACCAGCAATTAACGACGACCGCTCCACGGCCAGCCAAGGAGAACAGAACGAATGGGGATGTGGTTGGAAAAGAGATTGACGAGATGGGAGGGGAAGAAGAGAAGGAAAGCAAAAGAGGAAAAGCAAAAGAGGAAAGGAGACAAGAGGAAAGGAAAAGGACTGCAGAGTAGAAAGGGGAGAGACGGCCATGCACCTGTTAGAAATATGGCATTTCTGCAGAATACCATAATTGTATCCAAAACTCCCATCTGACATTACGGTTTTATGTTTTGGACAGGCCCCTTTCCGCCGTGTCTGCCCACGCTTCCCATTGTGCCCTTCTCCGCCGTCTATTCTCTATTCTCTCCTTCTCGAATCACCGTCTCGTTTTCTGCTGGTTTTCGTCTCTTGCCATCATGACATGCTGGACCTCCCCCCCCCCAGTCGTTTGATGCAGCGCACCTCCGGGAAGACCAAGCGAAACTGCTCCGTCCAATACAAGCGGGCCTTTGCCTCGAGCGAAAAGGGATGGACTCGAGCAGAATACATTTGTACACCAAAAATACAAAAGACTGAAGAGAAAGCGAGGCGCGGCGCAGGAGTTTGCCCAAAATCAACATGGCGGCCCGGGCTGCTCTCTTACAAAGCTTGTCTCAGGACCGCCTGGATCGCCCCAACTCCATACAAGCAACCCCCTTCTTGCTACCTGCTAACCCGTTTGGTCGAGTCGAGCAATAATACGACACTGGCTGTCCGCGCGAAAGAAAAGAAAGTCCATATCCGAACATGGCAAAAAGAGGAAAGAAATCGGACTTTCTGTCAAAACCACATACATTCGTAAAAGTCAAACATACGCTGGCCTTTTTATTCATCCCCATCTCTACGGCTGTTTCTCAGACAGCCGCATGTTTCCAGAAGCTTGCATGTCAAAGCGAAGTCTCTCCCATTGTTGTACATCTTCCCTTTCTTCGTATTTCTCTCTTCCACCACCCGTCCGAGTGCAACTGGTCCGATCATAGAGATGAATGCGCTTGTTTTCTTGCATTTCTTTGGCGCAAGTCTGTTCTCTCCACTCGTCCTGGCCGGTCACCCGTCACCGCCCGCCAGCTGAAGACGCCATTAAAGCGGTATAGCGCTTTCACGCTGCAGTAGTCAGTAGTTGACAACTCCTCACCACGAGCATTTTTCTTGTCGCCTGCGATTGTCTTCACCGGCCGCATCCAGGCCAATCAGAACTCCTAACGCACCTGTTCGACTTTATCGACAAGAAATGCAATCTCTTCTAGACGCGGCATGGCCTAAAAATAAAGTCAGAAAGCAAAGTCAGCAAATCACACCGAAAGTACGACACTACCGACTCATTTCCAGTCGGTAGCAACGGCAGTGACAATGGAATCCAACAAAAACGACAGCACCTCGCAGCTCTGTTGACGGGTCTTCCCACCTTGGCCTAGGCTGCGGCCCAAAGGATTCTAAGAAAACGTTCCACTCCACGTGCAGCCAATCGTCAACGCCACACAACCGCCGACCTTTTAGGTCGGCCTGCATTTGTGACCGCACGACTGTTCCCAAGTCCGCGTTGTCCCATTGTGAAAAAGGAAGTGGAAAGGGGATAAGGATGACTTGCGCGCAGTCTCCTTTGCGGCCGGCAAACAGTATCCCAAAGAATGGAAGCGAGACGACGAAAAGAACAATGAAAAAGCAATGGGCCAGAAGCAAGGGCCCGTCTCGCCTGACAGACGGCTGTGGGGGCGCCAAGACGAAACTTGTTGCATATGTTGGGTCGTGAAGGGGTCCGAGGCCACAGCCCTCCATAAATTGCTCTCGGTTGGCCCATGTGACCAGACAGACGGTGTCGTCTCGTGACGTGATGCTGCAAAACGATGGATGAGTAAGAGTGCATATTGAACGTCGAGAGACCTTTGGTACACGAACGAGGACAACATAGCAGTCGGCGCTTGATAGAGAAGCAGGGAACAATGGACAGGAATATAGAGTAACGCAGTATGAAGTACGAATGTATCGTAATGAAAACTACCAGTGAGATCGTATGCAGATGCTGACCCTTTCCTTTAATGGTGCTGCTTTCACCATGCGTGTGAAGTGAAGCCAGCATGAACCATCGTGAAGTGCATCATAGTTGATGTGAAATTCTCAACAAACAATAAGAGTGTTTATTTTCTAAAAAAATCGTATTGGTAAAATTTTGTTTGGAATGTGGTCGTTGTATTTTGATACGTACTTTTACATTGATTTTAGCTTTCAACCAGGATTGTTGGAATAACAAATGATAAATATAATTGTAACGAACAAAAAGGAAAACAAAACATGGAATAAATTGTTGCAATTTTGTAATTATTTACAATGATATCTCTTGTCTTAAGACAAGCCATAGACAACACAGTGAATAAGGCGTAACCCGGTCCATGTTGAATTGGATATCAAGTTCACGTCAGAGCACTTCAACGATACCAGAGATTGTAGGTGGTGAGAGAAACATGAGTGTGCCTTTCCTGGCATCAACAAAGTCTTGCTACAGAAATGACTGAATTTTTTTGCTGTAGGCATCAAGAACACATCTTTATCTTACTCTTATTCCGCCAATTCTTCTTTGATTCGGCTTCCAGCTTCCAGTATTTGCTTCCGAATAAACCATGTCAACTGTAAAGCTTATGAACAGCAGATAGCCCTCGTCTCCTCACGGGATGAGACGGCCATCTCGAAAGACAAACATCCGTCTTTAGTTTTTACATTCAGCTGTCTGGTAGGTCATTGCTCATCGTCTGTCGCACAGCACTCACCACATCTTAAGTCTTTTCACCTCTACAATGGACACTGAACGTTGTAAAGACGCCCCCGGACGTTCTCCGACGTGGTGAATAGAACCAATGGCATCGGAGAGCTTCAAGGTCCGGCCGGCCATGCTAAGTCTGAAAGAATCAACCCCACATCTCGATGCTGTCACGATAGCGAAGCTTCAAAAGTCCTGTCCAAGGAGCGCGTTGCCGCCTGTGCCTATTGCCTATGGCATGGACGTGAAGAGCATCCGCGAGCTTGTGAAAGGGGAGGTAATGAATTCCTTTACGCTGCAGAGGAAGCGCCGCTCTCATTACTTTGAACTAACAAATCTCACGGGCATGCCCGGCCTTGTCGCCTTCTTAAACGCCATATTTGACGCCGAGGATGATCAGATCGCAAGTGTCCAGAAAGAGCAAACAAAACTGCCATATAACAAGGTAGAGGAAGTCTGAAGACTACATTTCGAATCTAGAAACCTCGCTATACGATCATCATACGCAAGAACCAGATGTGATGGCTATCGCAGCCTCCACTGCACGGACCGAGACTCGGCCACAGCCAACCGTCTGGCAAGCTACTTTGCGAAGTAAAGAGCCAACAACCTCTTGTCCCGGCCAACTTTGCGTCTCTCATTCTTTCTTCCCTCTCTACACTCATCATCCACTTTCCGAGAGACATATGATGTCTGTCAAACTCAAAGCATCGGCACATTACCATGGTGGAGCAGTCAGGGCCCAACGTTCGTTCTGGGCCGGCAGGAGCCGCGACGCAGAGAATATCGCGTTCGTCTGCCATGGCGGCCAGGTTTGCCGGCCCAATGAGCCCTTCATCTTAAGACACATTCAACTCCATTTGTACCGTTCCTCGACAGACACAACAGTCGTCCCATTGCTTTGATATTGCTTCCCGTGCCTGTGTCGCGAGACGGATGAAACGAGCACGATTTTGATTCCATTTGTTACAAACGCGATGTCTCGCCCCCATGTGCGTTGCTGTGTTTCTTGGAGGCATATCGTTTGGGGCGACACCTTTCGCTCCACGTCCGATGATGCTTTTGGACGGTGTCCGCGTGGCAGCACCGAGGTGCAAAGCGGAAATTCAAAAAGGACAACCGACAGTGAACATGCCATACTCAAATACAAGCCACTTACACAGCTAAAAGCAATATGGCTAAGAGTGCGTAAACACACCTCACCCTCAAGCCGAATCCGCGAACCGCGTCTCCAAAGACGGCCGATGGATGCCCTCTACCAGGAAAAGGAGAGGAGACGGTCTCGCCCTGGTTCACGCAGCTGGAGGCTCACAGTCCCGGTTCAACAGCTGTGGAGGCCGCCGCACATGCCGTCGCATTGGCCCTGGATCTTGGCCGTGACCGTAGGCCCGGACAGTCTCCAGAGATCGGCGTTCTTTTAAGTCTACACCATCAGAATCTTATTTACGACGAAATCGACATCAAACGTACGGCAATCATCCGGAACTGACTCTTTGGCATGTCACGGACCAGGAGACACTAAGCTACGTCGTCTTTTGCCTCTGGAGTCAATCAGTCAGTGCAGCTCCAAGTCTGGTGTTTTGTTGCTTTGTGCAGTTCTTTGGTGTGGCATTGGGAGTTGGCGTTTGCTTCTATTTTTAACACAGAAGCAATGCTAACCAACACTAACCGCAAAAAACAAGCTTTTCCCGCACCTCCGCACCTCGGGAGCTCAGGAAGCCACACCCACGCCACACTCTATTGAATCCTGCCAGAAAAGGCTGAAGCCCAGAAGAGTACATGGTTTGACACGTTGGTCGGCTGGTCATTGGAACTTAACTACGACAAAAGGACCAGAGGACCTCTTTGTTCTTTATTCTCGACGCCACGATCGCTTCCGTCGTTATTTGGCGTCCCGCAGCAGATCCTTCGCTTCTCACGCCTTGTGGGTTGGGGTTTGCTGTTGTACGACCAGCTGGATTGGTACTTGAACTCGCAACAGTCGTGTTGATTTCGTCCGCATTTTGTCCGTTCTCACCAGGAGGAATCGTTGCCGCAAATAGGGCTTTATAGAGAGATATATATTTATATACTCCGTGTATATATATCGATACAACGCCCTATTTGCTGACAATGACACAGCAACAACTCAGTATGATGACCCTTAGATGGCTTGCGCCCATACTGACGGCTTTGATAGTGCGTACGTGGGATATGAAGCTGTCCAAGCCCCTATTTTTACAAGTGGCCTGCCTCCTTGTCTCACCAAACAGGCCGCCCCAGATAAGCTGACGGACGCAGAAGTCACTAAACACACAATCCACGTATTTTGGCGTATGGGCTTGCACCGAATGGCAGCTAATTTCACCTAACGCGGTACCTGCCGGGTACAGCGAACAAAACAAGCACAACCCCTGTCGTCTGCGGGCCAGGGGAGTTTGTGTCGATCCACCTTGGAAAACCACGGACAGAGCACGGTAGGCTTGTCTGTTGGCGCGGGTCGACTGTGGCGGAGGCGTTGAATCCCCGCCCACCGACCATGCATCGTAATTATTGTGTATGTGGTCTTGTTGCGTCTTATCTCCTCCGCCATGTCCGTCTCAGTGACGTGCTTCCCCGAGTCCTGTCAATTCGATTGTCTTGTTGTTCTCACGTTTTTCGGTTTGTCGCTTCCTCCGTCTGGAAAACACATGGCTCGTGAGAAAGTGGTAATTGCGCGAAGCCTTGGATCCATCTCGCCACTCACGCTGGCGTGGTATTTTGAATAAGGATGTGCACTGTACGGCAGGGGGCTGGGAGCGATTGGGGCTGGTCTCCATCATCAGCAGCAGAGGCACAAGGAAAGGAAGGAGAGTGAGAATCTGGAGCCGGCTGGAACGGTTAGGCCCTTCAACGTATGCGAGATACTGGTTTTGTATGTCGTATCCTTCGCAAAGGCCAGAGACGACAGTGCGTCAGGTCAAGCGTAAAGGGCCCCCAATTTTGCGTGGCTGAGCTCCAGGTCTGCCTTGGACTTGGGGCCTCTTGTCTGTTTCTGGCCTCTCACTTCTATTCCTCCTCTCCTACTCTTCCCCTCTTGTCCTGTTTTGGCCTTCAACTTTCGTTTCATCGTTCGCCCCCAGCATCGTCTCCGCCAATTTCGTACTTCTGTTCTCTCTGCCCCCCTAGTTTCTCACGATTTTCTTCGTCTCCCGACTATCCATTCGCTTTTGAGTTGGGTTCTAGACGGGGGGCTTGTAATTCAAATGTGGAGTTCCGCGAGTCCACTCCTGTCGGCAACCGTCTTTTCTGTTTTTGATTTCTTTTCTTCCAACGCGTAGATCGCTTCCGCCTCCATTTCCTTCTTTTCTCCCGTCACGATCGCTAGCTTCATCGACGCCGAGCATCTTGTCGTCAAACTGACCTCGACAACACACAACGTCCCATACGAAGAAGACAACGGCCTCCGCCAAGGTTGAGCTGCAGCCGTTTGCTTGGAGATTTAGTGTCGCGCCTATCCCGAATCGAGATTCCCAAACCACATGCGGCTGAAACCGTGGACTGGAAACCGATCCCTACATCTGGAGAAAAGCTACGACGAAAACTGTCCGACACTTTTTTTCATTTCTTCAGGCCAAAACATTCTCGCGCGTGTTCTCCGTCCCAGTACAACAACCTTGCCGAGCTAGCCTTCGCCGTGGACGGCTCAACTTTCCAAGGCTGAAGGAACGCGAGTCCGAGATTTGGACGGATCCTGCCAAACACGCCCCCTTTTAAGGGAAGCGACTCCCACCACATCGGCCGGACTTGCTACCACTGCAAACGACGAACTGACGTGAAACGGACCGTATCGTCAAGCTTCGTCTGTCGTATCTCTTCTTGTTGTCGTCTCCCCTCCACCCTCACACAGCCCAATACGCACACAATGGACAGCCGGCAACAAAGTAGGCGGCGGCGGCCCGCGCCGACCCCCTTCGTCGCCCTCTTCGTCACCCTCCTCCTCCTCGTCCAGACGACCGCCGTGCGCGCCGCCTTTACCAACAACTTTGACGCCTACCCGGTCGGCACGCGGTCCTGTCTCGATTCCGCGTCCACGGCCAGCGGCTGCAATGGCGACACCGTCACCGCCATGAACGACTGCCTCTGCAGCAACACGGGCAACTTTGTCATTGGCGCGGCCGAGTGCATCGGCAAGTCCGACCTGGCCGACCTCGAGACCGTCTACACCACCATGGCCTCGGCCTGCTCGTTTAGCAACACCCCGCTCAGCGTCTCCCAAAAGGACTTTTTGGCCGCCGGCAACGGCACCTACAGCTCGTCGACCACCACGATGCCGTCGACCACGTCGGGCACCACCAGCGCGACACCCTCCCTGACGACCATCACGACGACCTCAAACGGCCACACCCAGACGATTACCACCACGGCGGGCACGCCCACAAAGACTGGCGATAGCAGCAACAACGACAACAACGGTGGCGGCATGTCGAGCACGACGCGCACCGGCATAATAGCTGGCGCCACCGTGGCGGGCGTGGCGATTGTGGCCGTGCTGGCCTACTTCCTGGTCCGCATGTGGCGGAAGCGGCAGGCGACCGAGGAGAACCGGCCGATGCTGGGCGGCGACGGCGCGTTTAGTGACATGGGCGGTGGCCGAGGCGGCGGCGGCGGCGGCGGCGGCAGCCAGGCAAGCGGCACAGAATTGTCACACCTGTCGGCGGGCGGCGCCAACACGTACGACTGGAAGGCGGGCGCCGTGGGCGGCGATCCGAGCGAGTCCAAATGGCCGCACGACCCGTACAACACGTCGCCCTCGCCCAACTTGCTCTACCAGCAGCAGTCCGGCGGCGTGTACGAGCTGCCCGTCCAGGAAGGCGCACACCACCCCGTCGAGATGCCAGCCACGCCCATGGTGATGGCGGCAACGCCAGCGACCCAGGGCTACCACCACCCGCAGGGCCTCCAACCAACGGAGTACGGCCAGCCCCAATACCGGTAGTGCTTGGTTCCATCGTTTTTTTGTGTATTTTGTCGAAGGGTTAATACTGGTGGTAATGTGTTGGATTTCTATGGTTTTTGTTTTAATGGCCTCAAGGAAAATAGCATTGTCATAGGAAAGATGCATTTTTTGGGTTTTCCTTTCGTTTTGAGTTTTGCCTGTCCTGTGACGAAATGTCACCGTATACACACATGGAACTTCTTCGTTCTTTGGCCGGAGGGCTCTGGCTTGATTCCTTGTTCATCAGCATGTTTATTTCCAGTTACCCAATGAATGTAACCGTGATGTTCATTCAGGCTTGCCTCTTGACGTTGCCAAATGGATATGGTCACCCCCGCATATTATGCACAGCCGCGCTTGCCCTTGCTTTATTTACCCGGGACCGTGGTAGAAAGGTAGATAAAAGCAGACTTGGGGGGATAGAAGGCTCAGGACGACTGTATGGTTCGGTCGCGTTTCGGCGCTCGGCAAAATGGGCTTACACCCTTCCCAGATGTCGTCTTGAAGCTGTTTGAAGTGGAGCTTGTTGATTTTGTCTGGATGGTCTCGTGTGATGTGTATATTCTGCATGCAAAGAATAAAGGCGAGTGAGTTTAGCGAAAATAAAGACAATTAAAAGAAGGAAAGGACGATGTCCGTATCCATTCCCTGCAGATCTCGCGACCATTTCTTGCAGCCTGGTTTCGTAGGCCGTGCCGGCTCTTGTTTTCCCGAATGTCTGTTGTTCAAAAGCTATTAGTTGGCATACAGCAAGGCGCGCACCCTTGTTCCTCTGATGATAGGCCAGCCGGCCTTCCGTCTTGTATATCGTAGCTTTCATGGGTGGCATGTTGCCTCTTTTGTCGAGTCATGCGGAAGCACACATTGAGAAGTGGATATCGACTCTGGACAGTCGGTATCAGGCTGATGATGCTGCCAGAGACCAGACAACGGTACTTGGTCTTTTTCTGTGTGGCTGTTTCGGCCCTGTTTTCCATGGTGGCATGGCGATATGCCTTGCAGTTTGCAGTTGTGAGGCGCCGTTTTCTGAATTTCTATTCTTGTTCGCTTCAAAGCCAGAACTGGCTATTTTCTGGAGGTCGTCGAAAACATATTTTCTTTGCGCCATGTGTACTATCTGGTCGTGTGCAAATCAAAGACAAATATTCGGCGTTGCATGTCTTGGCCCCTGTCCACTTGCCAGGGACCTGCTCACGGGAGTTTGAGAGTCTAGAGCGAGTGGTCGGGAACTTGCTGTAACGTCTATCAAGGCGTCATGTCGCTAGATGTCGCCTTGGTCCTTATTTCTGACTGGACACACACCGCAGCCTGTTAAGGATGACCGAAAAACGGAGCTACAAAGAGCTACACGTCTTGTGCTGCAACATTAACGACATGTAGCAAGACGTGGAGATGAACAAGACGCCTAACCGTCTTCACCTGCTGCATACTTCGTATGCAGTGCACCGTGCTGCGTTTTGCGTGGGGGTCCGGACACCGACTTGTTCGCCGTCATCTGACACGGGGAAGCTACATGGGCCACCCCATGCAACCGATCCACTTTCTCCGTTACGACGAAGCCGAGTCCTTGAAGCTACGGCAAAAAGAATGGGCGATGCGATGCTCGTTTGGCGTGGCCGATGGGAGCTCCAGAATGTTGAACACGGCGAGGCAGAAACACGAGTAGCAACGCACTTGACTGTACGTGTTGTTGGCCGTGAGCCGAGACTACCATCGAGGCAGCTAGGCTGGAATCTTGGTGCTCGATTGCTTGCAAGACTTGACAACTGGAACACTCGACGAACTGGTCGGGCCTTGCGGCCAGAGTTGTAAGCGAGGTTTAGCTGCGTGCATGCGGGCATATTGCAGTTGCAGATGATAGTGCACCATCCCCACCTTCATTACTGGCGGCAAACCTATGCCGAGTGCAAGTGAGCTGCGGCCCGAACTTAGGCGGTGAAAGTCGGGTGGGTTCTTGGTCGACGGGCCGCGTTCTGTATGCTTTGTTTGCTTTGACAGTTTGCATTCTTTTCCCCTTTTCGAAAGCATTGCCAAGATACAGAGCAAAATGTTCTGAATCCCAAGCTGTTCCGTTCCTTCCTGCCTCGTAGAACCGCAACTGCTTTATTGCCTTACCCTTGCGTTCGCTCTTACCCCACCTCTTGCGCCTCCGTGCAAAGCTCCTCGAGACAAGGAAGTCGCGACTAAGAAAGGCCGACTTCGGTGCCGGAAGAATACACGAGCGGGCAGCCTGCACCAACAGCAATGTATGTTCGTGTCTGTTGCCAGTGACGCCATTATGGCGAGTGCTTTGGGCTTTGGCGTCCTGTGGCTACCTTTCGCGACTGCTGACATGAAAGGAACACCTTCCGCAACTGGCGCACCTTCCCCGTTGACCATAACTCGAGCGGCTAGCGGCCATGTTACGTACTGCACCTCCGAATAGAGTGGGGACCTTTGACGACGCAAGTCCACTGTTTCTTTAAACTTTCGTTCATTGTCACGCATTTCCTCTTTCTTTCCTATTTCTTCGACGTCCTTCCTCACGCTCGTTATGGAAACAGTTGCAGCTCTCCATTGATTTGGTCAACCCGGGGTTCTTCTGCTGGTTTGTGATTTGGCTCTTGCCTCAATTAAGCAGCCTCGACCGAGCTTCGCTGATCGGTCGCTCTTGTCACACCTCGGCGCCTTCGTTACGCGCACTTCGGATTTACATGGACGTTCTTTCCTAACATCGTCACTTTAACGCCAACGCTCTTTCCACGCTTTCGACGCACTCCTTCCGCAACTGACACACACAGCTCACATTGTGTACGTCTTGGAGTATCTGCGGCAAATTTCGGAGTGGTTTCTCGATCTCGGCCGACGTCGAGTCGCTTTCCAAGGTTTTCAGGCCGTCCTCGGCGTATCGGTCTTTGCGCCGGTGCTTAACCTCCTGCCCCCGGCTTCCGTCTCCGAGGGGCCATGTCGTCATCTCCACATTGGGCAGACCATATTTGGCCCTGTTATTCATGCTGCCGTCAGATTTGGGTGCGTATTGAACCGAAGCAGTCCTCCGGTGCTCGACCGTGCCTTCCTGGCGCGGCAAGACGTCGCGCACCTGGTTTCACACGCCCGACGTTTTCGGAATGTGCGATGCCTGCCGGTATTCCGCGCCTAGGCCGCACTTTCCTTGCTTGTTTTTCACGGCAAACAGCCCCTGAATACGTTTTACGTTTTCACAGCAACAAGACGTCTTCGACGACAGTCTCTATTTGTTATTGCATCTAATTTGAAACAAACGCGCCAGAGCTAACAAAACTAGATTCCTGAAAGCGCTACGTTCGGTGATGGCTGTCCCGGCATCATAGCCTACGTCCCCGTGTGGCTGGCATTGCTTGTCTTTGTCGGCCGCTATTCATTGCAGCCGCTCTGGAAGCGCCGGCCGATTTACCTTCGCGGCTTTGCGACCGAAGAGGACGAACTCGGCCTAAAGCACGGTCGGCTGCCTCCATCGACGGGGACGAACGCCCGGCAAGACCGCCATAGTGGCGTGCAGGCCGGTGATACCGACACCGATGTAGAAGCCACGGCCAGCGGCTCGGCCGTGGAAATCGCTGTGGACGAGCCTGCTGAAGGGGCCGTCGAGTCCGACAGCGACAATGCCACCGACAGCAGTGCGAGCAGCACCATCGTCGGCTTTGGCCGGCGGAACAGCGTCGTCGATTCCCGGCCCGTGAGCATTGGCGGCGGTTTGGCGACACTGGTCGTCCGGTCCTGGCACCTGATGGCCATCACGCTCTTTTTGCTGTCTGTGGCGGGTGTGGCTACGAGCCTGATTCTGACCTTTGCAGCCGGCCATGGCCGTTTGTACCTGACACCTGTTGTCCCCTGTGTGAGTACCGTGCCCCCATCGGTTTGTCGTCCTTGATTGCGAACGCCCAATACGCTGACTTTCTGACTGCGCAGTTCATCTCCGCGATCTTGTTGGCAATTGACCGGCCTCGGTCGCTGCCAAGCAGCGTCCTCTTCATCTATACGAGCACACTCTTCGTTCAAATTGCATTGTTGTTCGGCGTTCCCGGACTGTCCGAGTGGCCACTTAACCTGACCTGGCTTGCGGAGATGAGCGTGACGAGTCTGTCCATTGGCATCATGATGGCGATGCCCATGCGTGACCCTCGCCTCGGCCTGGGCCGCGGGGACGACCGAATTGCCGGCATCTTCGAGACGCCGTCCATCAAGAGCCGCAGTCCCGAGGACAATCTCAATATGTACCAGTGGATGACGGTCAATTGGATGGCCCCTGTTATCAGCTTAGGCGCCACCCGCCAACTCCAGGACGAGGATGTTTGGCACCTGCCGTTTGAATTCCAGCACGCCCGTCTTTACCGACTCTTCCATGACGTCAAGGGCTCCGTCACCGCCCGCATCATCAAGGTCAACACACCCGACCTCATCATTACGTCGCTCCTCGGTATTCTCGACTCGATGCTGTCGATGCTTCCCATCATTCTTTTGAAGCTGCTGCTCGCGTCCATGGAGGGTCCACAAGCCAGTGTGCGTGTGGCCTCCGTCTACGCCGTGTTCATTTGTATCACAAACATTGCCCGGGCCCAGGCCGGTGTCTTCTCGTTGTGGTTCACTCGCCGCTGCTATGAACGCTCTCGTGGCGAGCTCATCACCATGATCTACGAGAAAACACTGCGCCGGAAGGCCTTTACCTTCCCTGGTCTAACAGAAGCAGACAAGGGCAAGAAGGGCGGAAAGGGCAGACGCAGACGGGATTCGGCTGTCGTCCGTCCGAGAATCCTGACTGCCCACGGTGGTGGCGGTGGCGGCGGAGGAGGTGGAGGCCGTAGTGGCGGTGCCCGTGGACCAGGAGGTGGCGGTGGTATGACCGAGATCGCCAACAGTGTCGCCAGCGGCTCCGCCCCCGCATCGACTGGCAAGATCCTCAACCTCATGCGCAATGACGTCTATGAGGTGGCCCAGCGCTTCTGGGAGTTCCCCACGCTGTTCACGAAGCCCCTCAACTTTGTCCTCTCCATCTTCCTGCTATGGAATGTGCTCGGCGCCGCCTCTCTTCTGGGCATCCTGGTCATTGTCGCCGCCCAAATCATAAACGTCTACGTTGTGAAGGTCCTCGTCCATTGGGAGCTCGCCCGTCGTGCCGTGACCGACACCAAGCTCCAGGTCACGTCGCAGTTCATCGAATCGATCCGTCATTTGCGGTGGTACGACTGGCAGGACAAGTGGCTGGCCAACATCCTGACAGCGCGGCAGAAGGAGCTCAACTATCGGGTTATTACCAACCTCATCCAGAAGGCCATATCCATCATCAACCAGCTGGCTGCCTCTTTCTTCCCCGTGGCTGCCTTCTACGCCTACACTGTCATTGAGAAGCGTCCTCTCACCATTGACATCGCCTTCCCTGCGCTAAACCTCTTCAACTTGCTCGAGCAGAGCCTTCGCGAGCTGCCCGATCTCATTACTGTCATGCTCAACGCCAATGTTGCTATTCGCCGCATCGAGGCTTTTATGGCCGAGCCCGACAAGGAAGGAATTGACGACGAGCCAGGGCGCGACGTGCTGACGCAGGCGCCCGAAGGTGCTCTTGTCGATGGCATCATTCGCCCGCCTGGCCCTCTCTACATTGGTATGGAGGATGCGGCTTTCGCTTGGCCCACGGCAGAAACAGCGATTCTTACCAAAGTGAGCTTTGTCGCCGACGGACCGGGCCTGACTGTGATCTGCGGAAAGGTCGGTACTGGCAAGACGGCCTTGCTCATGACCCTACTTGGTGAGATGGACCAACATGCCGGCACGCGCTCCGTTCCCAAGGAGACCATTGGCTACAGTGCGCAGACGCCGTGGCTCCAGAGCATGACCGTTCGTGAGAACATTCTCTTCTGTCATCCTTACGACGAGACGCGGTACAACCGGGTTATAGAAGCGTGCTGTCTGCTTCCCGATTTTGCCGAGTTTGAGGCCGGTGACATGTCCAATGTTGGAGAGAACGGCATTGGCTTGTCTGGTGGACAAAAGGCTCGCGTAGCTCTGGCCCGCGCCATCTACAGCCGCGCCCGCATCCTGCTCCTTGACGATCCCATTGCCGCTCTGGACCACAACACCGCCGAATCCATCATGAAACGGCTGTTTGCGACATCCGGTCTCATGAAGAACCGCCTCGTCATCTTTGTTACCCACCGCATGGACCTTGCTGCCGACTATGCCGACCAGATCTACGAAGTCAGTGACGAGCACGGGATTGTCTCCAAAATTGACGCCGACCACGTCCGCCGGACGCTCAACGCATCTGCTGCTACCTCGACACTCGTCACCGTTGCCGACGAGAGCGAGGCGGGCTTGTCCGCAGACAACGATTCTGCATCGTCGTCGTCCGAGAGCGAGGCAGAAAATGCAAAGCCCCATGAAGACAAGGTTGCCAAGAACAAGTTCATTGAAGAGGAGCACCGTGTCCATGGCGGTGTCATGCTGTCCGTGTACTGGCGCTATATCAAGGCGGGTGGTGCCCACTGGTGGGCGCTTGTCATTGTCTGCTTCGTCGGCTTCCGCATCTCCAAGATTGCGTACTTCTACTTCCTCAAGATCTGGGGTGAAGCCTATGGAAGCGACGCCGTGACAACAGTCTTGAAGAGATCACTATCGTCCATCCTTTCACCATCCATGCAAGTTGTTGTTGGTGGTGCGCAAGGCGATGATGACATGCTCTCTGTCGCTGTCCACCATGGTACTATGAACAGCACCGGGTGGACCGATAAGAATTTTGGTCTGCCCAACCCCGAAAGTGACGTTTTGCCATGGCTTTTCTGGTTCACCGTCTTGGCCCTGTCCTCTCTCGTATTCCGTACTCTTGGCGACCTGATCTTGATTGCCATCACATATACGGCCGGCAAGCAGGTGTTCCAGCAAGTCATGGTGCGGGTCAGCACGGCGCCATTCCGTTTCTTCGATGTGACTCCCGTGGGCCGGCTCATGAACCGCGTCACATCCGACATTGGCACAATTGACGGAGCCATTGCCCAGCAGATCCACCGCTGTGCGTGGTTCGCACTGAACTGGGTCTCCTCCATCTTGGTCATTGCGTCTGCCACGCCGACCTTCTTGGTCATGGCCGTCTTCATGACGTCGGCCTTTGTCCTGATCTTCTTTCACTTTTTGCCCGCGTCTCAATCGTTGCGCCGTCTCGAGATGGTCTCGCTGTCGCCTCTCATGTCCAATTTCGGCACACTCCTGGAAGGCTTGACAACCGTCCGTGCGTTCCGCGTCCAGCCGCATTTCCAAGAGCGCATCATCGCCACCACCGATGCGTTTCAGCGCATGGACCATTTTTACTGGTCCTTGCAGGCGTGGCTGCAGTGGCGCTTTAATGCGCTGACCGCGCTCTCGACGTTTGCCCTGACCATGACGGCTCTGGGAACCGGTCTGTCCAGCGGTCTCGTTGCCTTCGTCTTGACCTCTGCTGCGTACTTTGTCAACTCCACGCAGGTCCTGTGCCGCCGGTACGGCGAGCTGCAGATGCAGTTCGTCTCCGTGGAGCGTGTCACAGAACTACTAGACCTGGACCAGGAGCCGGTCGGCGACGTGGATCCGCCCGCGGCCTGGCCGACGACGAATGACGATATTGTGTTTGACAATGCGTCCTTCCGCTACGCGCCGCACCTCGAGCCCAGCCTACGCGAGATCAACATGCGCATCCCCGCCGGCTCCACGGTGGCCGTCACGGGCCGTACTGGGTCAGGAAAGAGCACGCTGGCGCTGGCGCTGCTGGGCACCATTCTGCCGGACAACAACGAAACATCCCAGGGCAGCATCTACATTGGCTCGATGAACGTCGCCACTGTCAACAAGCACAAACTGCGCCAGCGCATCAGCTTCGTCGCACAGGACCCTGTGCTCTTCCCCGGCTCCCTGCGCGAGAACCTGGACCCAGTCGGCGAGCACACCGACGAGGAGTGTGAGCTTGTCCTCCGCCGTGTCCTGGCTGATGCCGCCAGTGACTTCACTCTGAGCAGCCGTGTTGACGGTGGCGGAAAGAACATGAGCCAGGGCCAGCGCCAGCTGATTGGCCTCGGTCGGGCTGTTTTGCGCCGCAGCCCCATTGTCATTCTGGACGAGGTAAGTTTAGTTCCGTTGCGGACGTTTGCGTTTGTCACCATGTAGTCGGTGATTGCTAACCGTCCAGGCCACGGCTTCTATTGATAAGAAGACGGCGTTCCAGATCCAGGAGGTCCTTCGCGAAGAGCTGCAGCACAGCACGGTCATTACCATTGCCCACCGTGTTGAGGCCGTCCGTGACGCCGACTTCTCTGTCGTGCTCGAAAACGGCCGTGTCATCCATGCCGCTCCAGTGGAACCAGGGTCTACCCCCATTGGCAGTGACCACGGTCCGTAAAACAGCTTGTTGACGGAGCGCATACCTGGGAATGCAGCTCTGAAAAACGATTACACTTGATTTTGGATAATTTTGTTCATCGCGAAGCTTTAACGCAAAGCATATCGATGCGTTGGTTCTTGGAGTTTTTTTATTTTCATTTTTCTTGAATAAAAGTTGCCGACCAGCGAATTTGAATGTCTCATTTTTAAACATGGTCATGATGAGGTTCTCTCTCAGTGCTTTTGTGAAATATTTTGTTTTATTTCATGTCTTGATATTTTCCTTCTGCCATGCACTAACAAAACAAGGAAAGTCTCGGGCGACATCTCGTGATCCAACTGCAACACAGGTTGAAAGCCAATACAGTATATCTCGATAAATGAAGGCAAAAAGGACACGTTCTGGGTACGAACAGCAGCCAGTGGCAATATTAATCTGCAAATATTAAGCCACACGCGATCACGACGCTGCACCACCCATATTAGCCTGTATTCGCATCGAGACCCCCAAATATGCCGGCACACGATAATTGGGATACTAACAAAAAGGACAATACGTGCACAGCATCTCATTGGCTCGAAGTCGGGAAAACTGTTGCTGTTCCTTGTCTTCGATTGCCGGCCAGGCTTCCCTCCGCTCCCCCGCCTCCATATGCCTTTCCCCATGTTTGCTATGACATAGCTGGGCCTCGTTAATACCCGAAGGGGATGGGGCAGAGGACGAAGAGGACAGCAGTAGGAAGCATGATGGACAGATTGAAGCGGCAATACTAGTACCGCAAGGCTTCTGGCACATGCTAGAAACGCGCGGATACTCGAAACCGTTTCGTGGCTGGTTCTTTGCTTCGTTTCTGTCTGGCCCATGATAAAAGCATCACCAGGCTGTGTCGAGCCGTTCTCCGGTCACTACACTTTGCCCACACCTCCATGTTTTGGAAAGCGCGCTTGACGACCACGACCACGACAACCGGCTGGATCGTGCCAACGAAATACCTGCCTTTGACAACACATTTGTCTCTCTCCAAACCACTCCATCCTCAATCACGATGAAGACTGGCAGCGCCAGCGCGCTGCTCTTCCTCGTCTTGCAGGGCCTCGGCTCAACGCACGCGTACGAAAAGGACGGCAAGCACTTTATCAACTGGGACGCCCACGAGTACCCCATCGTCGCCCACTGGAACTGGCACCGCCCCTTCCCCGACCACGGCGACCCGCCCATGGGCTTCGAGACCAAGTGCAACGTCGTCAAGAAGTTCCACGCGCGCAACTACCGCCTCGGCGACTTGCGCAACGGCGAGGGCCATCCGCTGTACCCGTTCTCGGACGGCATCGAGAAGTTCATTGCGGGCCGCACGTACCCGGGCAGCTGGGACGGCGTCGACCACGGCGGCATGCAGCGCGACCTGCTGATGATGGAGTGGCGCGAGCTGCCCGTTTACGTGCGCAAGTGGATCGAGGACCACGAGATGCGGCGGCCGGAGATGGACGACGGGCGCACGTGGCGCTTCATGGTGTTCCAAAAGAAGTCCAAGAAGGCGGCGGCCACGGCGACGGAGCCCGCGGCGCCGCTGCGGGCCATCCCGACGGAGGGGGCGGCGGCGTCGACGTGGACGCTGCCGGAGGTGGCCGACCGCGACAAGGTGGTGTTCTTCGCGCCGGGCCAGCTGTATCCGATTCTGCCGCTGTTCAACGCCAAGGGCGGCGGCAAGTGCGAGGACTCGTTTGCCGACCTCAGCCGGTACGTGCCGGCGGCCAAGGACGACGCGGTGGTGGCGTGGCCGTTTGAGCACTCCAAGCCGGACCCGGAGCACGGCAAGGTGGACATCTACTTCAAGATCCGCACGGAGCACGTGCTGGAGTCGGACCACGGGCGCGACCGGCGGCTGATGTGGGACGCGTTGATGCGCAATGCGCGGCGTTCGGACCGCAAGCATACGCGGGCAGAGCGGGAGGCGGGTCGGGACAGCTTGGGTATGCCTGAGCGGGATGAATTGTGAGAAGGCGAGCTGTCTATTGTACTTGCTATAGGGAGCACGAAGACCTTGCACAAAATCCAAGAAGAGAGTCGACCGAATACGAGCATGGCAAAGATGCAGTGTTGGTTCTCGACAAGGCGAACAGGAGGGGAATCCAAGTAATGTGAACTAAACAATAACAATACGGAAAGCATGAGCTGCCACAAGAAACCAGAAAACTACATAATGAATAGAAACGTTAAACACGGAACGAAGACAAAAGCCGTAGTGTTGCACCTGCTATGCCGCTCATAAAGAATCGAACCTTGTCATCAACCAAGAACTACCTCTGCTCGCCGTTGTCGGCCAAACTCAAACCGCGCATCGCATCGCGCGCCCACTCGTCGTCCGACACCGACACGGGCCGGCCACCCGCACTGGCGTCGGCGGCGCCCACGACACCGCCATCGTTGCTGTACATGACCTGGCTCAACCGCCAGTCATTGTTCATCGACGGCCGGCCGTCCACGCCCGGTAAGAACATGTCGTGTTGTTGCTGCTGCTGCTGCTGTTGTGGAATGGGCGGTGGCGGTGGTGCTTGTCCTGGTGCGCTGGGAGGCGGTGACTGGACACTCTTGCGCGGGACAGGCTTGCGTCCAATGGGCGGTGGCGGGCGCTTGGCATCGTCGTCAGAGCTCGAGTCAGCATGGGCGTCGACGTTGCGCACGGCCAGCAGGCCGCCGGCATGGGCCTGTGTCGGCGTGAGAACATCGTTTTCGTTTTGGTACTCGTACTCGTGGTCGCTGTAGCCGTCCTGGCCGTCTCGTGCCGTGGACGGCCGCTTGACAACGACGCTGTCGTCCGCCGGCATCTCGACCGCGCCAAAGCTGGGCGGTGGGAGGCCGTCGTTGTCGTTGTTGCTGTTGACGTTGCCGCCACCGCTGACGTCACCAACGCTGCTGGTGCGGGTGCCGTCACCGCTGCTCTCGGCGCCATACGCAAACTCGTTGTCATGCTGCTGCTCCAGTTCGCGCTGCTCGAGAATCTGTGGGGGGCCGGCAGACGACGGTGCGCCGCCGCTGCCGCCGGGCCCGCCGCTGCGCATACTACTGAGACTGGCCCGGTTGGCATCGGTGGCCGCACCGCTGCTGCTGCTGTTGCCCATCACATTGCTGTCTTGGTCGAGCGCGGCAAGGTCGCGGATGGCAAACTGGGCCATCGTACGCATCTTGCGCGAGACCCAGCCGGCCAGGATCTTGCCGCGCTGTTTCTCGCCCAGGCGGGACCGGGGGAAGTCGCCGCGGTTGACAAAGGCAACAATGTCGACGATGATCTGGTGCTCGTTGAGGATGGCGTTGACGATGACGGGCACAATGGAGGCCAGATAGGCCTTGCGTGCAACCTCGACCAACACCACCACGAGCCCACCGGCTTGGAAGACGGCACTACAGGTGTTAGTATACGGAAACGAAAAAAAAAGAAGAAAAAAAGAAAAAAAATTAGAATAGAGACAGAGAGGTAGAAAGGACGTACCATCCGCCGGGCACAATGATACGGTGGCAGCGCTCGACCGAGTTCTCAATGTCCATGGGGAAGTGGCTCAGGCCGTTGATCTCAAACGTTTCGCCAATGTTACCGAGCACAAAGAGCACCTGCATGTCCACCTGGGCGCCGCTGGGGCCGATGGGCCGGCTCACGCTGTGCAGGAAGCCCAGGTCGCCCGTGCGAACATAGCGAATGCTGGGGTCGCCGTCGACGGTGCGGCCGTCGAAGCGCTCCTTGTCGAACGCGTCCTTGGAGCCGTAAAACGACTTGACGCACGCCTCGGAGTCGACCCAGATCTCGCCAAACTCGCCGTCCAGGCACAGCAGCCGGCTCTCGGGGTTGACAATGGCAATCTGTGTGGACACGGGCACCATGCCGGAGTCCTGGACGAGCAGGGCGCGCGGGTTGGCGTCCGGGTCGACGGGCATAATGAGGCCGCGGCGCAGCGCCTTGGTGTCGAGCCACAGCTCAATGGGCTCGATGCACATGTACGAGCGCGAGGCCACCATGGGGTTGAGCACGTGCGAGTACACCGTGTTGATGGCCGTGCGGTCCAGGCCCGTGGCTGCAAAGTGCAGGCGCACCTTTTGGAAGACGTCGACGCGCGGGCGGCTCTCGGCCGTGATCATCATGTTCTTGAGCTCGTGCAGCGTGAAGCCCTTACCCGGCATGCTCGACATGGCGTGGTCCAGCATCTGCGGCGTGGCGTACGTGTCCTTGATCTTGTAGCGCGACAGGATCAGGAAGAGCGACACGGGGTTCTGCGCAAATTCGACAGGCGACAGCAGGTACGTCGGCGTGCCAATGTAGATGCCCATGAGACACGTGTGCACAAAGCCCAGGCCGGTCGTGCTGCGCACGCAGCCCAGCACGGGCCGCGAGCTCGTCATCTGGCACGTCTCCTTCTGCACCTTGCACATGCCCAGAATGGTGTCGTGGCTCAGCTGGACGGCCACGCGCCGCTGGTCGGGCGTCCAGTAGGTCCAGATCAGCGCCGGGTAGTTGGCCTGCACCCAGGCCGGGTTCATTGTGATGCCCAAGTCGCGCAGGCCGCTGTTCTGCTTCGACGGCCGCGACGTGTTGTAGATGCTCGGCACCGACAGCTTCAGCACCTGCGCCGACTGCTTGACGTGCTGCGAGACCGTCTTCATCTTAAGCAGATGGTCAATTTCGCTGTTGACAAGCACCGCGCGCACCTTGAAGTCGGCCACGAGGTGCAGAAACGCCGGCACGTCCTCGGACAGCCGGTTCTGGTCCATGGGTGCCATGGGGATCACGACAATGCCCAGGTTCAGACAGGCGTGCACCGCAAAGACAAAGTCCTCCGAGTGCGTGTACATGAGCACCGCATGGTCGCCCGCCTTGAGGCGCACCTTGTTCTTGAGGTACACAGCGACCGCGGCGACGCGCGTGTCAAACTTCTTCCATGTGATGCCCTTGCCCTCTTTGCCCCGGCCGTCAATGGTGCAGTACGCCAGCTCCTCAGCCTGCCGCGCCACGCGCCACTGGATCAGGTCGG